ACAGTTACAGAGTCCCGAATCACCACAACAGGACTTTGTCTTGTTCGATCAGCCTCAGCCCCCTAATCGGTCAACTATATCGCTGCAATCTCAGCGTCGTCACTCGTCTCATCTGCACAATCGTCACCAACAGCCTGTCTCCCCTGCTGCACAGAATCAACGAGTCGCCCAGTTGCTCCAGGCTTTTGGTCATTCTTCGTCCCCTGTAAACCGTCCTACGAATCAGTTTTACGCCTCTTCGGCTCCATCGTCATCTACCGCTTTGAACAAGCAGAACCGTCCTGCTAGGCCTCCAGTTCCTCTCTTTTCTCAGAGTACAGGAAGTGTCCCGCAACAAACCGCCAAGATGATGAACGCTGCAGGTTTGTGCACCCGTGATCTCACTTTCAGTACCACTAGCTCACCAATATCAGACGTCGAACTCCCTGAGGAGTTTACCGCCTTCGACGGCGGGGCCAACACGGCTTTCTCTTCACCTGCTGTCCCCTCTGTCTTTGACTTTGGCGGCAGCTCTTCCAGCTCTATTGGCAATCTGGCGACTATCTCGCCCCAAGATCTTTTTGCTCATGATAACTTCATGTCTGCACCTAACTCGTCAGCATTGACGGCCTTGACTTCACCATCTATCTACAACGAGTCCCCTGAGTTCGATGGATACGATGTGTCTCCAAACTTCGGCAGTGCCGATTTCGACGGTGCTGCAGACCCTTGGTTTCCCTTGTTCCCCCAGGACAACAACGTTGCTCCTGCTCAACCCACCAGCGTTGAGAACTCACCGGAGCTTAAGTCTGATGAAGTCGATTCAGACAACCAGTCTCCTGCTCCCAGTCGCCGTAAGTCGGGTACATCTCCTTCCACTCGTCACTCTTCTGTGGCCGGTGTGAATGCTCGCAAGCGTGACAAGCCCCTGCCCCCTATCGTTATCGATGACCCTAGCGACATCGTCGCCATGAAGCGTGCTCGTAACACTCTTGCAGCACGAAAGTCTCGTGAGCGAAAGGCTGCTAAGTTGGAAGAACTTGAGGATAAGATTGCTAAGCTGGAAGCTGAGCGCGATCACTGGAAGAGGATCGCTCTTGCGCAAACCGGCATGCAATAATGGATTAAAAGTGGAATTTCTTTCCTTTGCCAACACGGGATTTCGTTGGTTTGTTATTGTGTTTTAATCAGGTTTCATTGATTCTTATAGTAAATCAGTCAATTAAATTGCTTCTCTTGAATTTTGTATCTTCATGTGAATGTGATCGACACGAAATCATGCGCTGTGTCCGTTCATTGTCAACATAAAATCTGTAACATATAAATCATGGGCCTTGCGGTCGTGCAATTCTGCTGAAGTTGATGATGCGTTACCCCCCGTCTTGTTACCAGAGGTCAAGCCATCCGTCGTCTATCAAGCAGATGAATTCACATACTAGAAGACTGCCCTTGCCTTCGAGTCCGTAGTCAGTGAATGATTGGGGTGGACACTCAAGATTGAATTGATGATGTGGACCTGTCCAATAGGGCTGGCCAATGCATGTTGACTGCGTTTATTCAGACTGAACAAGTCAAGTGGCAAAGTTGTATCCTGTGAAACAGTAGATCATTTATCAACGTTAATAATGGCACTGAGCTTAGTCAAATCACGTCAAGATGCAGTAAGCCTTATTATGAATGGACTGCTGCATAGACTATTGTATCCCCCACCGGTCAAGCCGAGATAAGCACGGTGGCTAAGCCCTGTGATCACCGGTTTAAGCTTATGGGCTAGCGGTTCATTGGTGTGTCATTGCTTGGCGATATCGTTGGGCATCCAATACTATGCAAGGTGTTTCTCTCATCTCTTGAGGTAGAGTTGGACGTCATCCTCCAGGCTCGTGTTACAGCAACCAACGTATGCCGGCACTTGACTTATATCCGCCATAGTTAGTTCAGCTTCCTCAACCTTGAGCAGACGCTGCCAACTCTGCCAAAGAATATACTCGAATTTGCAGCGTTTATGTAAACTATTATTAATGTTTCACGGCAATGGCGAAGCTGATGCAGGAGTTGAAGAGTCCGTCAAGGACACCAGAGGTTGAGTCTACAGAACCAGTCAGTATCTGAACTTCACTATGTCTGCTTCATTCTCACATGGAATACAGTCATCTGACAGCCCGTCTCGGGATAGTCGAGAGGCAGTTGGGTATGAGCGTGGTTTTGAGAGAGACCTTGACGTAACTCAAGATGATTTGCTTGAAGCAAGGGAGGTTGCGTCCACTTTGTCTCTCGAAGAAGTTCATAAAGTACGTTTGAATGTCGGATTAAGCTTGGCGGTATACTAACAGAATTTAGACGATGGAGAGAGTATATAAGCTTTATAAAAGAGACCCCAACTTTCCTCTTTCTGTCATCAAGAAGATTGAAGTATTCATGAGTACGGCACCCTATAAATATTTGACTGCCACATACTTACATCGAACAGATACCGACGATATTCTACAGCACCCAGAGCGCCACGAAGCTCTAATCCAAGAAATAAAGATCGAGGCAGCACTCATCACACACAATTCACCATATGCTGAAGTCAGAGCAATAGTCAGTAACCATGACGACCCAAGCATGCCGTGTTCTACGATCCGCGCTTGGTTCGTGGGCCTCATCTTCTCATGCGCCGTCTCCTTCATCAATAGCTTCTTCGAGATCCGTCAACCAACGATCGGTGTCAACACTGTTGTTCCTCAACTCTTGGCCTATCCGTTTGGGAAGTTTCTTGAGAAGACTCTTCCTGATGTTGGTGTCACTGTGTTTGGTGTTCGGCACAGTCTTAATCCTGGGCCGTTTAATAAGAAAGAACATATGTTGATCACTATCATGTCGAGTATATCGATGGGGACACCGTATACGAACTACATTGTTTGGATACAGTATCTCCCATTCTACTTTAACCAGCCTTACGCAATAAGCATCGGGTATCAACTCCTGCTGGGACTTTCGTCCAAGTTTATCGGTTACGGTCTCGCTGGTATCTGCAGACGCTTCCTTGTATATCCATCATATTGTCTATGGCCAACAGCATTAGTGTGCATCGCTTTAAATACGGCATTGCACGACGTAGCCGATATGCCCGTTCCTGGCCCCTTCAAGAAGATTTGGAATACATCCCGCTTCAAATTCTTCAGCATTGCATTCGGAGCAATGTTTGCCTACTTTTGGCTTCCAAATTATCTATTTGCCGGCCTGACTTGGTTCAGTTGGATGACTTGGATATCTCCGAATAACCGAGATCTAGCAACTATAACTGGAGGACACACAGGTCTGGGTCTTAATCCCTTCCCGACATTTGACTGGAATATCGTCACGATGGGCTGTGACCCTCTCATGGTACCATTCTTTACCACCTTCAACCTGTTCTGCGGTACAATGCTGTCCTTTTTGGCCATTCTAGGTGTTTATTACGGAAACGGCTACTACACATCTTATCTCCCAGTCAACTCAAACCGTGCATTCGATCACTTTGGTGGACTATACAACGTCTCAGCTATTCTAGATGAGCGTGGGATATTCGATCCTGAGAAGTACGAGGCATACTCACCTGCGTTCCTCACAGCGGCTCATCTAGGATCATACATGATGTTTTTCGCCATGTATACGGCTGCTCTCACATACGGTGCGCTTTATCACCATCATCAAATAGCCTTAGGTTTCAAGAGCCTCGTCAACAGCTTTCGACCTTCCAAGAAGGAAGACGCAGAAGATGGACAAGTGTCAGATGCGCACAATCGTCTTATGAAGTCATATATCGAAGTCCCTGAATGGTGGTACTTGGTATGTCTTGTGTTGGCCTTCATCATTGGAATTGTCGGTATTTCTCAGTGGCCTACACACACTACCCCAGCAGTTGTACCCTTTGGCATCATTCTGAGTCTCATCTTTGTTGTGCCAATTGGTATCATATCAGCTACCACAGGCATTGCTGTCCCGCTCAACGTGATAGCTGAGTTTCTTGGGGGTTCCTTTGCCGAAGGAAACGCCATTGCATTGTGCTTCTTCAAGACATTTGGATATACAACTTGCGCCCAAGCCATATACTTCAGCGCAGACCTGAAGTTGGCACACTACATGAAGATACCTCCCCGCTTCACGTTCTGGGCGCAGATGGTACCAACGCTTGTTTCCACGTTCGTCTCTGTTGGTGTACTTCAGTATCAGATTCACTTGGAGGGAGTGTGTACGCCAAATGCGCCTTATCGCTTCACGTGTCCTGGTCTGAACAACTTCTTCACAGCTGCTGTGCTTTGGGGGACTATCGGGCCCAAGAAGCTCTTTGGACCTGGAGGTCAGTATGTCGAGACCCTGGTAGGCTTTCCCTTCGGTGTCGCTTTAGTGTTGCTCTTTTGGTGGCTTGGGAGGCAGTACCCAAATAGCAAAATTATTCGAAGCACTCACCCTGTTGTTTTCCTCGGAGGTGGTATGGTTTGGGCGCCGTATAATATCAGCTACATCTGGCCAGCTGTGCCGATTGGCTGGTTCTCTTGGATGTATATCAAGAAGCGTCATCTCGCTTTCTGGGCAAAGGCAAGTTTATTGAGCGGCTTATGCAGCTATACACTAACAATGAACAGTACAACTACATCCTTTCGGCAGCTTTCTCGGTTGGCGTTGCTCTATCGGCGCTGGTCATATTCTTTGCTTTACAATACAACGATATCAATCTAGACTGGTGGGGAAATAGAGTCCCGTTCGAGGGATGCGATGGAACTCAGTCGTGTCTTCTTAAGACAGTTACTGCTGGGGAGTATTTTGGACCTCGGCTAGGGGGCTTCCACTGAGATAACTCGGACAAGCTTATGCATGAACTTATGGACGGGAAAACTGACTTGAAACTGTACGAGGATGATACATAAAATTCGCTTGCGCAGAGAAGTCTTTATAGAAAAGAGTGTGCTAGTAACTCAGGTGGTATATACAAAATACAAAACGCCTCGCCTAAATGACAAAGACTGTACCCTCCAGAACTTCATCCACGACTCCTACATCTAATAACCACACTCATTCGGAGGGAGACAGTCCGGATTGAAACAAGACAAGTCATACCACTGCCAAGGGGTATCATCCTCGTCATCGCGCCCCTGAACCGCATCGACAAATTCACAGAAAGGCTGGTTCAAGTCATGCTCTCTGTAACCGTAAACGACAGATTTGCAGCCATCAAACTTGGCACAGCTCTCTCCACACGCCTCCACACTGTCTGAGTCACCGTACCCAAGGACCTTGGCCTTGTTGCCATTGCGATGACCGGTGTGGCCGCAGTCAGCAGCCTGAGGTGGATCCTTGCGAATAGTGTAGCGGAAGCAAGTTGGGCGTGGGGGAGGAGATGTGGTTGTCGAGCACTTGGTGGATGTCGTGCTTGAGAATGTTGTTGGCGATGTGCTGGTTGAGGTGGTGCACGGAGTAGTGGAAGATGAAGATGTTGATGAGCTTGACGAAGACTCAGAGCTAACTGTAGAAGTCGAGCAGGGTGACGATGTTGATGACTCATGAGATGTGGTAGATGAACCAGACGTTATGGTAGTTTCGCAAGGTAGTGTAGTGCTAGAAGATTCGGAATGAGATGCTGTGCTGGAGACAGTGGAAGAAGAGGTCTCGCATGGAGTGGTGGAGGAGGAAGCTTCAGATGTAGTTGACCCTGAAGACGGAGAGGTCGAAGTGTCCGAAGTGCTAGTTTCACTTGATGTCCAACTGGAAGAGGTCTCGGAAGACACTGTTGAGGTTGTGCAGGGTGTAGAAGTTGAAGCAGCAGAACTACTTGTTTCGCTTGTTGAACTGGCGGAAGACTGAGATGATATCGTAGAGGACGTGCAAGGCACCGAAGAAGTTGATGTCTCTGAGGTAACTGAAGATTCGGAAGTTGTAGTCCCGCTAGTAGAGGCTGTAGAGCTTCCAGATGACGTTGACATACCAGAAGTTGAGCAAGGCGAAGTAGTTCCTGAAGATTCTGTTGTCTTAGATGTTTCGTATATAGATGAGCTCTCTGTAGTGGAAGAAACCTCACTTGTAGCTGAGGATGCTTGAGATGTCTCGGAGCTAGTGCAAGGCGATGTTGTTGCCGGTGACCCTGTCTGGGAAGTTTGACTACTTGTTTCTGTTGTCGTACTTTCAGTTTCTGTAGAGCTGAGAGTAGAAGATTCTGAGGTAGTGCTTGAAGAAGCTGTGGTGTCTTGTGTGACAGTGGTACTCATTGAAGCTGAGCTGCTGTGAGAGTTCGAGGAAGTCGATTCCTTTGTAGATTCAGATTCTGTAGTGGATGAAGCGGTGGTCACGCTCGTAGTCTCAGATGGTTTGGTTTCTGTATGTGATGTGGACGAAGCCTCAGAAGTTGTAGAGAGTGTAGAAGTTCCAGTGCTGCTGGAGCATGGAGTAGATGTTGTAGTATAAGTCTGATAGGTTGTGCTAGAAGCACTAGTAGTTGTTGAAAGAGTGGAAGTTTTGCCCTCTGTTGTGGTAGAGGTTTCCTTCGTGGTGGTTAACGTGTCCTTGGATGTTTCTGTGCTGATTTTGGATGTTGTGATGTGACTGTTGGTTGTGGTAGTGACAGAGTACATAGACGACATGGAAGAAGTGCTACATGGTGTAGTTGTGGTGCTCATGGAGGATCCATGAGAGGTAGTTGAAGACTTTCCAGTACTGATAGAGATAGTAGACTCAGTAGTAGAGGTCTTGGAATGAGTGGAAGACGTAGTGCTCGAGTCCAAAGTTGGACCATGGGAACTAGTAGAACTACCAGTGGTAGTTGAAGAAACGAGAGTTCCAGTCTTCGTGGTGGAAGACTGGGGAACAGGATATGTAGGTACACTGTAAGGTGGTACAGTATAAGTTGGCGAGCGACGAGGCTTACAAGGTCCAGCCTGAACGCTAGTAATGCTTGAAGCAGCAAGCAAAAGAATGAATGACTTTGACCAGGCCATTTTAAAGAATTGAATGAGTGACTGTGAACCGGCACAATGAGCGAGTGAATAAAGGACTGACGGTATAATAAACACCCCAACTTCCGCTTCTTATATATTGTATTCATATCAAACTCGCTTTCTATGACACCGAACGACTTACATCATGTCTCTTCTAGAATAAATCCACCGTTCCATCACGTTTACCCAAATCCGGCGTTTTCTCAGCCCAGACGTTACAAACAAAACGGCGCTCCCCAATAGAACGTCACCACCCCTGACGCTAGAAGCCAACGGTCCTAAACGCCACGATCTGCCTTTGGTGGCGTTAGCATCTCCAACCGTTCTAACAGTCTGGCGGTCCCATGGTGTAAAACAAGAGGCTTTAGACTTTGTGGTCGAGTGGGTATGATGCTATTGAGCGGTGTATCAAAGGAGCAAACGATGTGGTTTCGCCTTGCAAGTTACGGTGTAAGAGGTTGGTGGCGTGCAGGATGGACAGACTGTCGTTGCACCCGTTGGGAAAAGTCGTCCGCCACTGAGTCCAGAACTACGGTTTTGAATCGAGAGGTTGTTTCCACTTAGGTGTTCTTCTGGTCTTATGATGTGTTGAATTTGCCAAAAGGAGGCTGTAATGGGCCTTTGGTTGGATAGTCAGTCGTCACCAGATGGGACTGGGCTGGAAAGGATGAACGTCAGAGCTAGGAACAGCCGAACAGGATCGGACATGTACGATCATGATTCATGCAGCTGTCATATGTGGTCTGCATGATTGCGACATGTTGTGACAGGCAGGGGTATACGATCCGTTCCGCCGGGACTGAAGAGTTGATCGCACAGACAGATCTTGGGAAGTGTCAACACTCTACAGCTTAGCAACAGTAACAGTTATGTATTATCAAGAAGGCATTGGAAGAGAATACTAGAAGATGTAGTCATGTATTGTGTTCTGATCTGTAAAAAAGACGTCTCTCGTGAGCATACAAAGTGAGTGTCATCGATAGATCGTCAACAAAGAAGACGCGAGCTCTAGATACACAATACGTCATTCAGTGAAGCAGCAGAGTCATATTTCTGGAATGTAGATCTGATAGCCTTCAAGATTCGCTGGTTCATGGCCCTTGCTCATGCATGCAAGGCGATCCGAGATCTCCAACCATCCCTTCATCAACTCCATCTTAGTTCATGCACAGCACAGACTGAAGGCGTCACAACACTCATAGTTAGTGTGGTCTCATTGCTAGTACCGTTACTTACTGTGTATTACCCAGTTGTGCTCGAAGCTAGGCTCCATGCAAGCGTGCAGTAGTCTCCGTCCCGAAGATCTGGTCTGCATGAGACGGCGTCCAGCTTCCAGTCGGCAAGCCAAGCATGAGATGGTCGTAAAAGCTAGTCCCCCAAAGAAACTGAGCTATGGGAGACTTGAGTAGTGTCGATTGGTAAAAGTTCTGTGGCTGAGAACTGGCAACGTGCTGATGCTTACAGCCACTTGATCGAATCTGTCACGACACTCACGAATGACATTACCACTATCCTATCTCCGCTGTGGAAACTTCTTCGGCTGAATTATCAAGACTCATTAGTTAGTGAATATGCATCGTACTACTTATTTTGTGTTAGTACTCCTAACTCTCTTACGCCGAGTTCTTCAGCTACTAGTCCACGGTATCTGGTGGATTCGAAGAACGGAGTGATACTCTTGAGAAATGGATCAGGTTGAAATATGGAGGACATGATTTGAGTAATAATCAATATATTAAAGCGTCAGCCTGGATAAGTATTATCTTTATGACTGAAGTGATATGGTTTAGCTTCTACTTAAAAGTGGTTGCATGATCTTGCTTCTGGCTTGACCACGATATGGCCAAAATTCATTGCCCACAGTACTTTGTTTTATTTTGTTCGACGCATCTTTGACATTCAGATCATCTCTACTCGGATGTAGACGTGTTGGAAGTTTCTAGCCGCCTGTATAGTCCAACCTTCCAGACCCCGATAGGATGCCTCTCAGCGAAATTAATCGAACCAACATCCTCTGATGCGCCGGCAATAATCGTAACGGAATCCGAGCCCATCAATTTCATATATAAATAGACTGACACTCATACTACATTATCTAAGCGAAATGTCTGGCGCACTACAAATCTACCGTAACATTGTAATTTTGTGGATAGCCACAACTTGTATTCCATAGATACTCCATTGATGAACTTTTCAATCAGATCTGTGGATGAATACATAGGAACTTATCACGAGTATAAACAGTGATATTGAAGTAACAAATATGTGTTCAATTCTATTTATGTATGATGGCTCGTGCTATCAGGTATGAGGAAGGCCTTTGTCTAGCGATACCTCAGCTCAATGCAACACACGATGTCTCGTATCGACTGCTTGATGAACTTTAATCATACTTCCGGATGAATAGGCATTAACTTTTCAGCTCATTTCATTGCAACATAGAACGGTGCAACCTTACCATGATTGTCGTTTCCCGCCGTTGTATCAACCATCATTGCAGATCATATAATTTAAGGGATGCTACCTTGATAATACTTCAAGCTGGCTCTTGACCACAATTGAGTGACACAGTTGTGCACACAACCACAAGCAGACACCTTACTCTCTTGTATTTCAGTGCAGGCGTCTGGCTACAGTATACAGGGAGCGGAGCTAGACCATTGCTATCTTAGATAGGAGTACTTGAAATTTTAGGGTAGCAAGTCGTTTGTAGACTCGCCAGAGCCATCGCTATACGATGATGATCTTCGCAGGATTCGGTGGTGCATTTAGTGCTCTAATGATTGGAGCGGAAGCGTAAACTTCACAACTGGGAATAGTAATGATTCAAGAACAATACTAGGACTGAATTGTCACATTCATGCATCGTATGACCCAAGTCCTTTATGGTCCTTCCTTTCTTGTAGGTGAAAGTCCAATGAGAGACTGGGGTAACTAATTGATTGCCCAAAGTGAGGTTCCTTAACATTAATGAAATGAGGGTTTCGCATAATCGGGGTTTCAGATAGACATCCCTTGACATGATATGATATCCCGGCCAAACACAACAGTTTGTGTCGGGTGCGATACTGGGAAAGGAGATGATACGAGGTGGTTTCGTCTCAGGTTACGAGTGCATGATTTCGAGTAGTAATTGAATCCTTCAGGATGAATCTTTGCCGATACTTGAATGATGACATCTGGATGTTCAGCTTCAAGCACTAACATGAGAAAAATCAACACGGAACACGATTTCACTAGGGCTGCAGTTATCGAAGACTGTGTGTTAAGATCACCCGTCAGGGTTAAAGTGACAGGCAAGGTATTAGGTGTCAATGCCAATCATCCGGTGGGGAGGACCACAATGATGTTGAAAATATGGGGGTTTCGGCCATCGGCTCTGCAATGAGGCAACCGGCCGAATTGTTAGATGAGAAGCTGGATTGAATAATGGAAACATCACAGTAAAGAACGGAAAGGAACCGTGAAGGAACAGATACACGAGGTATCAACCGAAAACGTCAAGAAAACCGAGATGGTAGACATGTTCATGTCGATCACCTCGTGTCGGTGTAAATCCACGTGAAGGTGGAAAAGAAAACGTTAATCACTCGAATGGGGAAGAAAATACCGCGCGTCAGAACTCCCTTTGCAGGAGGGCAATCAATACTTCGATTGGATAGTTCGGTGAACATCTCGAGGTTCTGAAACTCAGGGTCAGTTTTAGACCAAGGGGGCTTTAGCTTGGCACTGTGAGGAGAGTAAGGATCTGAGATAGACGGACGTGATGAGCAGAAGCAAAAGACGGGGCCTGAAATGAGGATTTGCAAAACATTCTCTTGTTGGGATCATGTTATCTTCGTGCTGAGTGTGTATATCGTCTGTTGAGTGAACTCAATACCGAGGTGATGAAAATTGTCAGCCAATTTGGCATGACGCAGTTTCACTTGGCTGTATCGCATAAGGACGTGTCTTATGCAAGCGGATAGAATGTTTCGCTCAAGATGATATATGCGACAGAGTGAAACAGAGGATTGAAAAGTCAGAAACAAATCAGAGCAAGATGGACTTATAGCATCGTACAATGACAAAACCTTAATAATGCAATTAATTAATGACAGGCACAGGCATAACCCGCCCGCGATGACATTCAATCGTCTTTCATCCCTCTTTCAGGGACCATCAAGCGCCCCCCAGATCGAGCGTTACAGTGAGAGGGGCGGCAGGGCATTTGATTCGAGCTCAAAGGCCCGGCTCGGCCTAAACTCTTTGGAGGCCTAGAGCCCTGAATGGTCATATGAGTGAGCAACTAAGCGGCAATCGGGCTGGGCGAGAATGCTCCCTCACTCACCAAAAAAATGGCCGATAGGACTGCCAAGGGCTAACTCAGGTAGGCCAAGGTGAAGAATAAAATTAGAACACGTTATCGAGCTACGGACAGAGGCGATATCATGTGGCGGGCTGAGCCCAAAAATGTCCGGCGAGGTTCAGTGCCATTGGTATGTTATGCTTCGCTTTAGCTCTAGACCTCGTGATGAGGCTCGTGTTTTTTTCTCTTAGGGTTTTCGCTATGTTTCTTTTTGCAACGTTACTGCTACTGTGCCAACATGGATTGCCCAGATCAAGTGGGAATAGTGACGTCGAGGCGGGTCGAAATCTATTCTTTGATCAATGAACCCATTCTATTTTGTTCTGGATCAACACGGACTCTCGGGAAAGATGGAGAAGAGACGAGCAGATGAAAGATGGAGAATGCATGCATGGGTTCGATGGAAACTCGTCACTGAACCGGGCTCAAGCGAGGGCGAGTGTCCCTCTGACTACCTACGGACACAGGGCAGGGCAGAAGCAATAGAGGCCATTGCCCTTGGCTTATCGCTTTGATAGTGCCAATGTTTGTCCAAGAGTAGCAATTTGGGGGAATACGATGCGTAATCTGATACCCCAACCCAACACAACAGTGAGTGAGTGACTTGGGCCTTGGGGTGCTCACTGCTAGTGACATACGCCAAGCAGACTATCTTGGGCGTAATCTCGTGTTGCTTCTGTTACGGTCCATATTGAGAACGACGAAATCAGTTTGTGAGTTCTCAAAAATACTGGACAGAACAGCAATGTTGAGTGAGGATGTGGAGGATTGTTAGTCAAACCAAAACCCTGGGACACTCTCCCTTCCATGCATGAACCAGATGCTGTGCGACACTTTCTGACAAGTTGACTCGAAGAGGTGCAGCTCCAGCTCCTTCAGGGGTCCAGACTAGGCCGGAATAGCTCGAGATAGTCTGCGCCTCTCGTCTGGCATTACCCACCCTTTTCCATCCTGTCTCTGCCCATGCCCATGTCCAAGGCCCCCTGTTCCCCCATTTCCCTTATCAGCACAAGGCGAAGGGCTAACGGAAAACTTGCCGAGCAATTCAATATCGTTACGAATCGTCAAATGAATCTGCATGTCTGTGAAAGGTTGGGCCCTTGGGGGGTGAGTGCTCGTATTCTGCTGCCCCTCGTTGGAATTTTGGTGGTTATTTCCAGCCTCTGCCATGCCTTTTTCCGAAACCAGACAATGAGTTTAGGGAGGTTTGACTTACGAATCTCTAGACGGTGCGTGTCAGAACAGGGTGATCGTCAGGAACTGCGTGCCTCTGACTGGCTGAGGCGTGAACGAGTTCTGCTTCAGGAAAAGACTTGTCTAGAGCGCTTCGTCATCACGACATTCACCCTCAAACTCGAATAAACAATTTTTTACAAAGAACGATCTGAGGACTATACGAAAACTACAAACGTCATAGTTGATTGATCTCCAGTGTCTCTCCACCCATTGCCACAGTCACAGCAGATCTCAACGGGTTGATGCTCGAGTCCGTAGAGTACCTTAGTGTCTGATTGACATGGTGATCGCCTGTACCAAGAAGCTAAGAGTTGTCGGTACGGGATATTGGCCATGTGAGAATTCGTATTGTGTCCAAGTGTGGATGCGAGTTAGCTCAGGCGACCAAAAGCCAAGATTCAGTTTGCCGCAGTGATTCATCTCGCCAGTTTAGGTGATGCTATCTAAGAATTGTCACTCAGATGCACTGAACGGTAGATCGGCATCTCATAGTGGGCTTCTGAGCGAGTGCTTTGTGTTGATGCTGTGTTACCCTAGCCACAAAGAACGTGGCTTACATTAATCAACTGTCAGCTTTTTTCCAGAAGGCCCTCACCATAATTTCTCATCAGCGACTAAGCACCTAAACCGACTGGCTCACAGTAGAATCCGCCGGTTCTGGATCGTGGCGGTTTCTTGTCTCAGCCGCTAACTGCCTAACGCCTAGAAATGTCTTGTTCTTGGGTGAATCATGTCTCGCTCGAAACCGGAATCTCAGTAGAAAAGCCCATGTTCTGTGGCATGACAGGGGCACATGGATCAATAACGAGCCCCTGGCTGCTCCTAAGACAAACTTGGCAAGCTCCAGAGCTCGGCTTCCCTTGGCTGTCAGGATCAGGGTCAGGGGTTGAGGCTCCTCCAGATCCACCCGGACCCGAAGCGCCTCTAGTGTAGAGACGTCTCTAGTCGTCTACAGGCGCCGAGACAGAGGGAGGGCGCTGCCATTAAAACACCAACGTCTCCATTCACTGACCTGGACCTCTTCCTCTCTCAGTTTCACTATCTTCATACCTTTTAATACCTCTTCACCTGCTTCAAGTAACCTCCGTTTACTCTCTTTTGCTTGCTATTATATACACTCTCGCTCAGGTATATACCTAGACCTATTACACATACAACTTACAAGTGGTCGTCACTCCATCGCTCAAGACACCTCTTGATAACAACTCAACACCTTGAGATTGAAACATACGACAAGCATACAACAGCAATCACACATCACAAATACACGATACAATGTTCTCAAAAGCTTTCACTACTGCCGCCATGGCTCTTGCCTGTGCTGGTATGGTTTCTGCTCAGACCTTCACTGACTGCAACCCATTGAAGAAGAGTGAGTAAACATTTGCTATAGATAGCTTGCAAAGAGACTGACATTATCACAGCTTGCCCCGCTGATCCTGCCTTTGGCGATAACGAGGTCGACTGCGACTTGGCCAAGGGCGCATGTGATGCCTTCCACGGCATGATTGGAACCGAACTCAAGTACAGCGACCGTGGTGCTCTATTCCGCATCAACAAGGAGTCCGATGCTCCTACAATTCGATCCGATAACTACCTCTTCTTTGGTCGTGTCGATGTTGTTGTCCAGGCTGCTAAGGGCCAGGGTATCGTTACCTCCGCCGTTCTCCAGTCTGATGACCTCGACGAGGTTGACTGGGAGTGGGTTGGAGGCGATGATGCTCAAGTGCAGTCCAATTACTTCAGCAAGGGCGACACTACCACATACGACCGTGCTCAGTACCATCCCGTCGCTGCTCCTCTTACCACTACTCACAAGTACTCCATTGAGTGGACCTCCACCAAGATTGACTGGCTCATTGACGATGCCGTTGTCCGAACTCTGAACGCTGCCGATGCTCAGGGCGTCAATGGTTTCCCTCAGACTCCTATGCAGGTCAAGCTTGGTACTTGGGTTGCTGGTGGAAAGAACAGCAACGAAGGTACCCGAGAGTGGGCTGGTGGCTACACTGACTTCGACGATGCTCCCTTTGATGCCTACTACCGTAGCGTGACCATCATTGACTACGCTGGAAAGGACGCTCCTGGCCAGAACAAGGGCGCTAAGCAGTACGTCTACACTGACAAGACCGGTGACTGGACCAGCATCAAGGTTGAGAAGACCTCTTCCGACGACGACAAGACCAGCACCAGCACCACCGTCTCCAAGGTTTCCAAGACCACTAAGACTGCCGAGCCTACCAAGACCAAGACTGCTGAGGCCACCACCTCCGCAGTTGAGACCACCAGCGCTCACGAGTCCAAGACCAAGTCCGCTGAGAAGGAGTCCAAGACTGAGTCTGCCAAGGAGACCAAGACCTCTGAGGTCGCTACTACCTTTGCCACAGCCACCAGCACCAAGGCCGAGGCTACTGCCACAGCCACTGAGGGTTCCGGTTCCAGCTCTGGTTCCGGATCCGAGTCTGATGCTGGTGCCGGAGCTGCCACAGCCACAGGCTCTGGTGCTTCACCCTCTGAGCCCGCCACCACTCCCGTTCCTGTCAACTCTGGCTCTCGCATGGCCGGTAGCGTCGTTGCCGCCTTCGCTGGCCTCATGGTTGCCCAGATCCTCATCTAGATCTTCACTTCTGCTTCTACAATTACTTCTTTCGGGGTCACTGTAAGCATGTAGAGTTGTGAAACCTACATGCGGAAAGCAGACCATTCTAATTACCTTACTTCGAGTCGATCCTTACATGCTTGCCAAGGCAACCCAACCTTTTCATCACTCGGAAGTATTTTTTGGAATGAGGGCGACTTCATGACAAAGAAAGAGACGGGCAAAGGAAAAAAAAACGCTAGAAAAATCATAACAAAAACAACACACATGGGAAAAGGGCTCTTGGCAAGCAAACATCACGTTTTTGAACAACAAACCTAGCGATTTTTAATGAGGACCTGCTCTCTTGAGCCCGCCGAGACGGACCAAACTTGGCTTCAAGCCAAGCGTCTTGGCCCAATTTCCCCTTCTTGCTTGGGAGGGGAGATATGCACAGGGCATATGATGGATGAGCTTGTGATTTTTTGTATGAAAGCTTCAACTAGAGATGGACTATGACACATTGACAGAGGAAGACATGGCTTGGATGAATTACTACTTTGGATTGGATTGGATGACGCATTGCATATTATTAGATGCCACTTTTTACGCACGATACCTTTTGCAGATAGAATCTGTTCTTGAATGGAATAGAAGCAGCACATTTTGCTGAAAACATTTTTTGACTTGCTCGCTTTTGGTGATGTACTTTGACGCAGGCGAGATTGAGTGAGTCTGGGCTGCATTCAGCCAAGCTGGGCAGTTTGTATTGGAGGGTTGTACGTACATATGCAGAATAAAGGGTGATATGCAATCGCCGTGTAACAAAGAGGAGGTGTCAATCAAGGGAGTAACACCCAAGTATTGCCAATGGTCAGAGAGAAAACGCCAAGACTATCGATTTGCTGAGTTGAGAATTTAGCAGACGCGTAATCTTGAGCTTATCTATGATCGTCAACTTGAGGGAAATTAGAGTGCTTGGCTGAGAAAATAGTATTGTTTGGGCTGTGAGGGTGTGCTGGGAAATGCGGCTGGCTGAAGGGAGTGAGACATGGCTGCTGTTGTTTATGGTTGAGCCGCATATTTTGGTGGAAGTGGTTCCAATTGGGTCTCACTTATCTGCGTCGTTGCTTCTTGCATCAATCGCATCACGATGGCTCAGGTGTGAAAGTTAATGTAAGCTGACAGCTGCACAGTCACACTGATTGTGCATCCATGATTCAAGGTTTATCACAAAAGGGATAAGCGCAAGGATTCCCCATGTGTGGGTGGAGCGGATATGCAGGTACCCCAAAGGTTATCGCCATTCAGTATAGAAGCTCGCTCGCATCCCTGCAACCTACCCGAAACTTACACCAAAACTCTCTCTTTTCAAAAAGTGAAATGGAATTCACGACCTATGGCCTTATAAGATAGGAGATTGATCACTTGGCTACCTGAGATAGGATGATATCAAGGCAATGGACCGAGGCCTGGAGAGTTCGATGCATTAAAAGTCATACAATACACCAACACCTGAGTTCAGACACATAGACTTGGTAAGAAGTGAGCTGATGGCATGCCCACAGTGACAGTGGTCTGGTCTCAACTGGCCCCTTCACTTCGTGTGCGCAACTGCTGGACTGCTGTACCGGGCATATTCCTTGAGGTACCTGTTGTAATTGTACTCCAACTTCCTTTGACCTATTCAAATTCTCGTCGTTTCTCCCTCTTGAAAAGCCCACAAGTAGTCACGATTTATCTATCATATAATTCACACTCCATTCGCTTCAGAGAAGGAAGGTGGCTGTCTTGATAGATAATCTTTTGCTCAAAAGTAGAATAAATGACAGGATGAATACATCAAACGTGATGCAAATCCAAGGTAGTGTATTCTTTTCTCTGGTAACTTTACCTTGAACACCTCCTGTTCTGTATCTTTATTGTGTACTTCTACACTAGCAGCTTTGTGTTGTGAGTCGCATTATCTGACGATAAATCGACGCTGATGAGCCAGGGAGCATCCCCGAGCCGTTCTTAAAGATCTGTTCTCTATGTCTGTGGTTATGCTGCTGTTGAATGTAGCAGAGTTATCAAGCCTGTCTAGCATGAGAAGTGTGAACAGCACCACTGCGTTCTCAATTACAGTGCATTTGTTAACATAAGGTAGTAGCTAAAGCGTCAAGTTGAAAGATGATGGAAAGAATTGGCAAGTTAGTTAGCTGAGGTAATCATCATCGTGTTTATTGTTTTCATCTCCGCTCCTGTCGTAAATCCAATGCCTCCGTGTCCCAAACATTGCATCGTTTGAACTTGCCAAAACTTGGGATCTATATCCTGAGCGATGAATGGATTTAGGCAAGCTTACCTTAGATACCTTAAGTTAGTGGGTTTTTATACTACCTTAATTATTTGGGCATCCTAGGTAAGGTAGTCCAGAGTCACAGGATCTCCTACTCCCTGAGGCATGCCTTCCTGATACCATCCATAGATGTTATTATGGAAGCCACTTCCTTGACCTCTACAGGTATATTGGATCTTCCCATGTCCTCCCTCTTCTCCCTCTTTCAAACCTCCATACCCTCTTTCGGAATGAGTATTATCACAGTCTATTCATATTCATATATTTCATCATGGTTGCTGTTCCTCCTCACCTCCTGCGAGCTATCTCGAAGAGCAAAGCAACAACCCCCGAGCACCGAGAGGTAGCACGATCATCTCTTGCACACACAGAACAATTCTTGAAAAACTGCCAAAAACGCCGGGAGCAGTATTTGAAAACGTACAACCAAGTCCAGCAGCAGATCGTTCCTCCTCAACTTTTTCGAAATGTCATCGCTTCAGATCAAGCCGACAATGCTCAGCGTACAAGGGCCAAAAAAAGTCTTGATCATCTAGAAACCATTATCGGAAAAGTCAGAGGGGCCCAGCAGGCGCTGGGCTCTTCGCAGTCATCAGAACCCGGCACCTCACATGTTGTCCCATCGTTAACAGCTACGGACGACCCTCCATACCGTGCGGTGTACGACATACACGAGAGTTCAAACGAGGGTGATCTTCCTGGCGACCTCATTCGTGACAACGGGAAAAAGGAAGCCGAAGAAACCAAACCATCTTCCGATAAGGCTGTCAACGAGGCCTTCGAAAACGTGGGACTTGTCTTGGGTTTCTACAAAAAGTTCTTCCAATGGCTGTCAATCGACAACAAGGATATGGACGTCATCAGCACTGTTCACTTTGGTAAACAATATGAAAATGCTTGTGAGTTGCAATCGCAGTGGACTTGACTTCTACTAACAATATCTATCTAGTCTGGGACCCAGAAAAACTTCAGATGGTCTTTGGCGATGGCGGCGAGTTTCTCAACAACTTTACCGGATGCATCGATGTCATCGGCCACGAGCTTACACACGCAGTCACAGAGAACACAAGCCCTCTTGACTACTATGGTCAGGCCGGTGCTCTGAACGAGCATATCTCGGATGCGTTCGGCATCATGGTCAAGCAAAGGGTTCAGGACGAGAAATCGGACGTTGCAGACTGGTTAATCGGCGAAGACTGCATTCTTCCTGGAGTCAAGGGCACTGCTCTGCGAAGCATGAAGGAGCCTGGAACTGCCTACGACGATCCCGTTTTTGTAAGTGCAAGCTCCTTCCACCCTTCCACTCTTATACCCTTCTGCAACTCCACAAACAGCGAGCTGCGGCTAATGTCTCTCAGGGCAAAGACCCGCAGGTTGGACACATGAAGCAATTCAGGACAACATTTGAGGATAACGGCGGAGTACATATCTATTCCGGAATCCCCAACAAAGCATTCTATCTGGCTTCTGTGTCGTTCGGCGGTTACTCTTAGGAAAAGGCTGGCAAGATTTGGTGGGCAGCTTTGAGGTCAGGCAAAATCCCTCCCAGGTCTACGTTCAAGCAATTTGCAACTGCTACTGTTGACTGTGCGCAAGAGATCTATGGGTCGACTGATGCGAAGAAAATCAAGAAGGCTTGGCTAGATGTCGGTGTTTTTGACAGTGGCGCCAGTACTGATTCAAGTGGAGGTTGGTGCAGTATCCTTTGACGAGATGAGGCAAACCTAGAAGACATCCTACCACATTAGTATGAACAGAACCTAAATTATACTAGACTTCCCTAAGCCTTATTAAATTTACTTTGATATTTTCTTCCCTAGTATAGAGGTCCGAAGTTTTCTTGCCTCTCCCCGACTTCCACCAAAACCCACCAATCTATCACCAAAACTAGTCTCGTGTTTTCTCCCCCCTTGGCTGGTCCCATGGAGACTTGGTGCATATGAAACAGCAGTACAGCGCCTAGGTAGCGCTTAGCCTTACCGTTTTCCTTACATGACAGCTCCACCCACCCCCAAGTTGACAAGGTCGCAATTATTGGTGGGAGAATGGTGAATGCGCAGTCCGAGATTGATGAGATGAAAGGCTGAATAATCGGGCTGTTTCGAAGTGTTTCAATCATACGAGCTCTGGTGACTGTCACCCACTTGACGGTACAAACAAAAATGATGTTGGCAAAGCTTTCTTGAATGCGCGAGCATAGATAAGTCAGTTCTTCTTTCATTAGGTAGCCTTCATGACATATACTTGGAGCATGTCACTCGTCGTTCGTCATATGTAGACATATCTTTAAGCTTATTCCAATGATGCTTAAGTTAGAGCCAAAGCCAGTTAAGATTAATTCAAGCTCCAGTGTATCTTGGCTGCCAAGAAGGACGAGGCCGTGTTTCCGTAGTGGGCGAATTAAAGGATACATGTTGCATCGTCTCCTCTGATGAGACGTCGTCATATTGGGCTCGGGATATTACTGACCGAATATTCGAGATGATGAGACACGATTATGTCCATCCGGAGATGCAGTAATCGAGTTCTATGTGCGGTGGTTTCTCTTCTTTGTTCTGTCAACCTCCCAAATGCCAGACCTGAAACTGTTTAACTGGGAGCTAGTAATGAAAACGTCCAGCGTTACCGATACCGGCCGAGCGCCGATGGCATGGTCCGGCATTGAGGATCCACTTCTGCTCCGGATTGTTTGCCCACCTACCGTTTCAATACCGGAGAAATATCCTATTCGTGTAAACACGTTTCAAACCCTTGGAACCACCATCTTGTTCAATGTTGTCGACGGCAATTAATCATCACCGCATCAGGGGTACAGTGTTCGATAATCAGGACGACTGAGCACGACATCTCGCGATGGCTTCATATATAAGAACCTCGCTGTGGCCACCAACTCACCACTTTTGTCCTTCATCCTTCATCCTTCACTCCTCTTTTCCAACTGTTTTTCAATCGTTACTGTCTGGACTGGTTCCGACTTCCACTCTTTCTTTTACACAATTTCTTGATATATACACTTAAATCGTCAACATGAAGTTCCTCGGTCTTCTCAACCTCGCTGCTCTGGTCAGCGCCGTCCCTACTCCTACCTTCCAGGAGGCCGGAAAGACTCTTGGCAAGCGAGCTGCCATCACCGATGCTGCCGACATTGGTTACGCTACGCAGAACGGCGGTACTACCGGTGGTGCTGGTGGTGCTACCGTGACTGTCTCTTCTCTTGCCGAGTTCAGCAAGGCTGCTGAGTCGGAGGGCAAGCAGGTCATCTACGTCAAGGGCCAGATCTCTGGAAATAATAAGATCCGCGTCAAGTCTGACAAGACCATCGTCGGTGCCACTGGTGCTTCTCTTGACAACATTGGTCTTTACATCAACAAGCAGAAGAACGTCATCGTTCGCAACCTCAAGATCAAGAACGTTGTTGCTGCCAACGGTGATGCCATCGGTATCCAGAAGTCCACCAACGTCTGGGTCGACCACTGTGAGCTGTCCTCCGACTTGTCCAAGGACAAGGACTTCTTCGACGGTCTCCTCGATGTCACCCACGCCTCTGACTTCGTCACCGTGTCCAACACCCACCTCCACGACCACCACAAGGCCTCTCTCGTCGGCCACTCCGACAACAACGGTTCCGAGGACAAGGGTACTCTCCACGTTACCTACGCCAACAACCACTGGTCCAGCATTGGATCTCGCGCTCCCTCTGTCCGTTTCGGTTTCGTCCACGTCTTCAACAACTACTACGAGGATATCAGCGTGACCGGTGTCAACTCCCGCATGGGTGCCCAGGTTCTTGTTGAGTCTACTACCTTCGCCAGCGCTAAGAAGGCCCTCACCTCCAAGGACTCCAAGGAGACCGGTTCCATCTCTGTCAACGATGTCAACCTGGGCGGTTCCACCAACGATGCTCCCAAGGGCTCCATCTCCAAGTCCAACATCCCCTACAAGTACTCTCTTGTCGGCTCCTCCAAGGTCAAGTCAGCTGTTGTTGGTGTTGCTGGTGCCACTCTCAAGCTGTAAGCGGTGATGCCCCTTGTCTGGGCTTCTTCGCCAGCGGCATCGTTGGTGAAATCAAGAGCTTCGTTTACGATGTATATAATTTTTTGAAGGAACATAAATAATCAATAGATTACTTATCACATCTTACCGTCTAAATTCAATTTGTGTTGTGTCTCCTAAATCGTAGTCCGAGAGATCATTATACGTAAATAGTCATAAGAAACGATGTGCGAACAAGAGCATCACTATTAGATTCCACTGAAGAGGGTTCCCTATACCCAAATTTGAAACTAGTTTCGCACTAAGTGAAGGAAGCTTTTTGTATGAGGCCTAGCACATTTTAAGGTTGTACTTGGGGCCATCCCACGGTTCTCTAGTCACAAGGTGTTTTCCTGATAGAAATCACTTGCATACTGATAGTTTTTCTTTAGCCTTAATAACATACGGTTATCGGATTGTGAGAATAGGAGTTTCTATAGAAGCCAAGAATACTTCGGACTTCTCCCAAAACCCGATATACTCGGGATCTGTACAGCAACTAGGATTATACGCGGGTTCAAGGTCCACTTACTCCTCAAGTGCTTCAGGTAATAGTCCACCAAGGGGTTCAGTTCGGTCCTGATTGTCAGATTTCTAATGAGCTTATTCTTTCTAAACCTCGGCTGGCAAGATCATGATTCCCCTGACCGTCAACATGTGTCATGCTGAGCCCCTGAAGCCTCGTTCGCAACCCATTCCAGAACTCCTTCGCGCCGCAAGTCTCGGGGAACTCTCGATAACAGCTCACGCACGCCAGTTGCGGTCAAATCTTGGCAAGCCTTGACTACCTCCTTTATCTTTCTCCCAAGATCATGTTCTCCGGGTCCAAGCATTAGATTCAACTCAACATCTGCTACCCCCGCTGCGAGCCAAAGTATCATTAGTTTTAAACCTGGATCACCTCCGAAGGCGCCACAACCCCAGAGCCCAGTGAAAATGGAGTTGCCTTGGTAAGAAGAAAAGCCATTTGCCGCCTTGTCAATTTCGCGATCAATGTTCTCAGGAGACAAGTCGGGTAATCCATTGTTCTCTGAGTGGTCAAGCATGTCCATCTCCAAAGCGTCCATGAAGACAAGACGTCCTCCCCTCCATGATTCCTTCCAACCTACGAAGTCTTCTGATGGCGGCGTACGACGTATGGTCCATTCAATATTACGTCTTTGACCTTTCATATCAACCATCGCTCTCGCCCCAGAAACAGTGATGACTGTGTCGACTGCGAGTTGAGGCGCAACCAGGACTACGGGATAAGCTTCAGGGGCAATGCCGACAAAAATTTCTTCCTGTGTGGCGGATTGACCAAACCCGATGACCTTGTTGGATGATACAACAGCTGCTCCTCCTTCATCTTGAACCTCTGGATTGTGTGTATCTGATGTGTGAGCATCCAGGAAGTTCACGTGCAGTTTTGCTAACTTGGTACCCTCTAATGAAACTGGCTCTCCTAGATGAAGTTCGTATGAGACAGAACCGTGAGCCCCATTGGGTGTAACTTGATGGTCTTCCAGAAGAGCGCTTGCTTCAGGTGTACTCCCAAAGTATGTAAACAAAGCTTCCAAGTACATCTGTACTGCGGTAGGATGCCGTTGCTCGGATGAGAACCATATGCCCAGATCCTGATAACCTTCGCCATCCCTTTGAGGTGTAAATGAGCAGAGGAATTGATGCACCACAAGACAAGCAACTTGACCTCGACTTAGATGAAGTGGATGTCCCGGCTGAAGAAGCTCAAGCTTTCCGTCAGGAAAGTAGGTAGGCAACGCGAGCGCAATATCGCGAATCTTTGGCCATATTGTATCAAGTATATCAGCTTCGCCTCGTTGTTCAAGAAACCTTTTCAGAAAGCCATAGTCACTATCCTGACATGTCTCTGCATTGGCGGCAATCGTTTGTAACCGATCAATCAGCTGCGCGATACTTGACACAGGCGTACAGAGAAGGTGTATCAATAGCGGCCAAAATGGTATTTTGCCATTCTCATCTTCTTCGACTTCCGCATCGTCGGGAAGGTCACTGAAGCGGTCGAGTATACGGCACGATGCAGAGTTGGGAAGATGAAAGAACTGCGGGCGAGATGACATTATGATGGTTTGCGGTAGAAGTTAGAGCTTATACGGCCACGGCATTGTTGGGCTCGCTGATTTCGGTGGAAATGCTGATGGTCGTGCTATAACTAATATTATTTGTAGAGCTACCTTGAATGACGATGAGTCTTCGCCGACAAACGACCCCTCATCTCATCAACTTTCAGCTGAATCGAGGTCTCCACCGAGACGGAATTAGATCACCAGCAAAAGGCATTTCCGGACATAAAGTCATGTTCATTAACAAGAAACCTTTTCTTACCCGATGACATTATCTTGGCCTAGGTACTACTGGAAGCTTGTCGAATCTCATGGGTATAAATATGCGACCAGAAAGAATGTCGTCGCTTCCTGGAGGTTGCCAGTCAGCTCTGAGGAATATTGAATGCCCGAACAACAAGATCAAAGACCCGTCATTTCTGATTATAGGTAATTCATCTGGGAGCACATATCTTGATAGAAGATAAATTCTAGCAAGTGCATTTCTTTCCCCTTCTCTCACTTTTTCATTGGCCTCCTTTATTTCTCGTTCATTCTGGCTAAAATAGCATCGATATATCGACACTCGAGACCCAATGTTCTTATCAAGTCGTGGTCATCTCTCTTTTTCAGTTACGACTTCGACACTTCCAAAACTTATTCCATAAGGTACCTTACCTAGCGGTTCAGTGTGCCAGGCACCTACCTTACATGTTTTTCTCAACTGATCTTCAGGGGAGGAAGGTGCAGTTTCCACACTCACCAACGATGGATGATGCAAAGCAGGTAGGAGGTATCTTCGAATGACAAGATGGAAGACCCAGTGTCTTCCAAGATCCGTAAGATTATTTCTGCCGTTTGAAAGGAGGAAAAAGCCCCGAGAAACAAGCCAACTTGAATTCTGTCCATCATGGCAGAAGCACAGCAGGCGGCGTCGAGCCTACAAACTCTGGCTTCAGAAACTTCACACGAAATCCAACTGCGGTACGAAATTTCCGCTTCGACCTTCAAGATCCTTCGCGAGATTAAAAGCAAGCCAGATGCCCGTGACATCTTGAGGAATGCATGCTCTGCCACCGAGTTCAAGTCGTTCCCAATGAAAAAAGAGGAGACGGCCTTCTTCAGAGCAATCAACGACAACACCGGCATCCCCTATCAAGTTAAGGAATTCATCTCCCAGCCGTGGCACAAAGTATATCTCTTGGTTCAGATTGATCTGCTCAAGACTGGTTGGCCCAACAAGCTATCGGGGCCTTCACGGAAAGAGCTCACGAAAGAACTCGCCCGCATGTACAAACTCCTCGACCGTGTGCTGAGGTGCCTAGTCGACATACTTGGAGAACGAGGCGATGGGAAGGGAGTCTACATTGCTCTTGAAGTGCTGAGGTGTGTCAAGGCTGGAGTTTGGGAGGGAAGCGACAGTCAACTCCTCCAAATTGAGGGCATCGGCCAAGCGAAAAAGGACAAGCTCGTCAAGGCCAACATCAAGAACATAAAGCAATTATCTGCAGTTGAGTTCTACAACATTGAACGCATTCTTAGTCGAAACCCACCTTTCGGCCAGACTATCCTTCATAAAGTTGCCGGATTTCCTCGTCTCACACTCGACTTTGAGATTATCGGCCCTTACACCCCCGCCTCGACTGCCAACTCGAAGTCGTCTGCTCCGCACGAAGACAACCGGTCTGCAACAGGCACGGAGAAGCCCAGTCAACCTCTCTGGATTGCTCGAGCTGTCCTCGGATTCAACAATGAGAAGCTATCTCACTGGAAGGGCCGCACACCCTGGCTCACATTACTTGTCCAAGGGGATGACGGACGACTTGTTTGGTTCTGGCGAGGAAGTGCTAACAGGCTGGTTGACAAGAAAGAGATCATAATCGGTTTGGGCGCAAAGCAAAACGAAAAACTGCAGGTTTCATTTGCATGCGAGGAGATTGTTGGGACTTTGATCGAGAAGGATATTCGAGTGTCAGTGTGAGGTATCTGCTGAGGGGAGGGTTATGTTCGTCACGTGTGCGAGATGCGAGTAAGGATGTTGCTGAAGATAGCATATTAACAGCTCCCTCTAACATTTCCGATTGATATTTATCAATACTAATGGTTCACATCTGAAGCCATGTTCCCTATGGCACCCTCTCGTCAAGCCAACTCCTCCATCATTGCAAGGCCATCGTATCACCACTCCTTCGGTAGCATTAGCGCGACGAGGCATAATCCTTATTCATAGTGCAAGGATACGAAATTCGAGGATCATCAACACCACTTCCCAATGAGACACTGTTCAATAAGAGGAGCCGTGAATTGGTTAGCATATTCTTGGTGCCACCAGCGCCACCTCCACCGCTCAATGCTCAAAACATCTGGACCCTGTGGAACATTTTAGCTGCAGAATTAAAGACCCTGTACCCTGGAACAAGCTCCAAGCTTTGCGGCAATTTTCGCATAAGTCGCCTGTCGCTTATTGAGGCCTTCACCAAGTGATATCCAACAGAGAGGGAATGGATCAGCCTTAGACGTTGAGTTCGTCCCTTTCTGCCTAGGGTGAACTCTGTCGGTGATCTAAATTCGGGACAGCAGCAGATTCGATGAATGTCACTGGTGATATAGGATGGGACGGGATATTAATTGCTCTAGTGCAAGCGGCCGACAAGAGATGAGTCTTATAGGGCAGAGCATTAGTGCGTCAACGGCGCAATATCGTTGGACGGTAAATTTGGAACCCCCGGCCTTGCAGGGCAAACAAGAGAGTAGCCTAATCTTAACTTTGTTCAGCGGCAGTTTCACCGTCAGCCTTTTTCCATATGTTTGGTCGACTCAACCTACAACTCATCAACTGCATGCAACCAGCCTTGCAGTAACAGCGTTACACTGCATCCCAACTATGCAAGTTGTGTAATGGGCCAAATGCGAGGTACGAGACTAGACCTGGGTCCATGGCCTTGTGACCGATCTTCGTGAAAAAGATCATCTGCCAACTTCCCTCCTCGTCTGCTCATCTCTTAGACCAGGGCAGGCTATCTAGGATCGATGCAGGGATCCCAAGCAGCTGAACCCCAGTCCCCACCAACTTATAGAGAGCAACACTGCTAAATTATTTGGTTCATGGACGGTGCGTGATGATCGGGCAGAATTTTGAGGATAGTCTTATTCGGAATGTGGTTGGGCCGGTCTGACACTCGCACTCATGCCCTATTTTGGTATATCACGTTAACTGTATATGGGAACTCGTCCCAATGGAGATCTTCAACTCAGAGGCATGGAAGCTTGGTATTAGTCACTGACGATAGACAGGTTACAGAGAAGTCAGAGCTGCCTATAGTTCGGCAAGGTACTGTGGCGACCTGCTGCAATTTGTATTGGTGGATGGTCGTGCCTCTAGCACAGACGGATGTGGTACCCGCACGAAGCCATCGTCAAGATGGAGCTTCCACCTTTGACCCTGGAGATATTTGGTGGCGTACATTTGATGCATTAGCATATTAACATACCCAGCTAGTTGATTCTAACTGGCCTGTGACTCGACGGTTGGCTTTCAGCCGTTCCAGTAGGTAGCAGCCTGTTAATACCAGTGCTCTTATAAAAAGAGAAAACGTCCTGTTCAGCTTGACCTGTCTTCTTCGCCCGCCAGAGTTCTCCCAACCCAATCGTTTTCGGTGGACTTAGCCCTCTTATACAGTCTTTCAAACATGCTGCGATCAACTCTTCTCCTCGCCCTCGCGGGCTTGACCTTCGCGGCTGATAGCGTCCACTTCAGCAACTCCAAATCAGCACAGCCAAAGGGTCTCCCCCTTCTCTCTGGCTTCACTCCTCGTCCTCAGACCCTCAGCATGGCTGGTTCTTGCCCCGCTGGCAAGACATCATGCGATAACGGCTGCATGGATACAGGCGCTCAGTGCTGTAACAAGGGAACAGGAGCCTACTGTGATGATGGCTATCATTGTCAAGCTGAAGGCTGCTGTGAGGATGGAAAGTTATGCTCTGGCCCCCCAACTGGTTGCACACCGGGCAAGGAGCTCTGCGGAGCGTATTGTGTCACTAAGGGCGAGTGTGTCAACGGCGGAAGTGGTGGCTCTTCTGGTGGTTCCTCCGGTGGTTCTTCTGGGGGCTCATGCTTGAGCTTTCAGGAGACCTGTGGTGATGGTTGCATGCCCAAGGGCATGGTTTGCTGTGATACTGGCTATTGTCTCCGTGGCCAGACCTGCGGCTCCGATGGAACTTGCAAATATGGTTCCGGCTCTGGTGGCAGTTCAGGAGGCTCATCCGGCGGCTCCTCTGGTGGTAGCTGCGCGACTTACCAAGAGAAGTGTGGTGATGGCTGCATGCCCAAGGGCATGGTCTGTTGTGATACCGGATATTGTCTCTCTGGACAAATCTGTAGCAGCGACGGTACTTGCAGCTATCGCTCAAGCGGAGGTAGCAGTGGTGGTGGCTCAAGTGGCGGCTCAGACGACGACGGTGACAAGTCCAGCTTCACTCGAGAGTCCCCAACACTTACCTTCGACTCTCCCTCATTCACGGCCCCTTCGATCGAGCCTGTCCCCACGATCGACGACAACAAGTTCTCTACATTCTCTTCTTCTGCGGAACCTACCGGCCTCAGGTCTGGTGGCGACGATAATGGAGACAGCGGCAGTAGCAGCAGCAGCAGCAACAATGGAGGAAGCAACAGTGGCTCTGTCTTGGTGCCTAGCTTCTTCATGGGCCTCGTTGCCATGGTTCCTCTTTTCCTTTAAGTTGTGCCTCGAGTAACTCGATGAATTCGTCAAGATTTTACGGTTACCTTAGCGACATGGACAAGCTGAACAAGCATTATGGCCTTGAGTCTTTGAAGCAATGCAGGAGCTGGAAATAATGAATGATGTTGGCATGGGCTTGGAAATATTCTTGGTACATACCTTAGTTTCGAATCAATATACCCCTGAATCAATCAATGAGCCATGCTCCGGCCTCGTAATACTCACCTTAATTACTTCACTGCTCCTCGAACAACAGACGCAACCCGGAACTCCCAGAGACAACAAAAAGTGCCAATTTACCGGCAGGACATACATAGTAAAAGTCAAAATAGTTCGATTCTTTGTCTCCCTACTTCAACAGCAGGCTATTTATATGCTTGAAGAAGTGGGTAGACTGGTGAGCCGTGATTTTCCCTCCTTTTGCCATGCGCTTAAATTGTGAATAAAGAAAATTTGATGTTACATGATGACGTTTCTCTCCGTTATCCCCCAGCTCTGTGAGCAAGGCCGTCTCGGATCCTCCAGAGATCCCTATAATACATCCGCTGAACGCCGATAGTCATGGTAGTGTGGAATGTTCATGTGGTGGTTGAGTGATGAGCTGATATAAGGGTGATTTCATCTCGTCCCGTCCGTAATATGCCATAAGCTGCTAGTTCGTATTTTATCCCTATCGCTTGGCAGCCTGGTTGAAGCTCTCGATCACTGTCTCCTTGACACCGGGCTTCGCCTGGCCATCAACCTCTGAGGGTGTATCAGTCTCGGTCTCCGAGCCTTCCTTGGGCTCGACAAGAGACTTGGCCATAGTTTGTGCCTGGGCCTGGCCAACCTTGCCGAAAACACTCAGACCAGTAGCGATCATGCCGCTGATATCTCCAACATTGCCGGGAACAACGACAGCTGTGCTTTCGCGAGCCAACTTGCCGAAGGCATCAACGTACTTCTCAGCAACCCTCAAGCTGACGGCAGCCTGGGCACCAGCATCACCCTTCAGGATACTCTCAGAGACAGCATCGATGCCTTGAGCAGTGGCAGTAGCCTTAAGACGGATGGCTTCGGCTTCACCATCGGCTTCGTTGATTCGCTCGGCGCGCAAAGCCTCGGAAGCAAGAATGACACTCTGCTTCTTACCCTCAGCGATGTTGATGGCACTTTGTCGCTGACCTTCCGACTCAAGAATCTCAGCACGCTTGGAACGCTCGGCAGTGACCTGCCGGTGCATGGCCTCGACGACGGCGCCAGGAGCATGGATATCTCGAATCTCGTAACGTAAGCAGGTCACTCCCCAGGCCTCGGCGGCATCGTTGATAGCAGCGGTGATGTTGGTGTTGAGGGCAGCACGCTCCTTGAGGACGTGGTCGAGAGTCAATTGACCGATCTCGGATCGCATGGTCGTTTGGGCAAGCTGAGAGATGGCATATTCGGCATCTTCAACTCCATAGCTATTGAAATACAAGTTTTCAGTCAGTCACATGTCCATCCTGAACTCAATTGCCCTTCAGAGTTGGAAAACTTACCTTGCTTTATACGCATCAAAGACGCGGGTGAACAAAACACCGTCAAGCTCTAGAGTAACGTTGTCCGCAGTGATGGCGCTTTGGCTGGGTATCTCAATGGCAACTTCCTTGAGGCTTTTGACGTATGCGATTCGATCGATAAAAGGCACGAGGATAGCCAGACCGGGGTCAAGAATACGGTTGAACTTTCCCATGCGCTCAACGATCCAAGCCGTCTGCTGAGGCACAAACCGGACCACCGTATTGGCCGGCAGTCGGGGCTTCGAGAAGTATGAAGGCAAGACGGGAGATCCGAAGCCGGAGGGGAGTAGAGCATGGTTGGTGGTGCTGAACGACCGGTGCGCGGCGATAGATCGAGCTGTGATGGCGGTGGCAGCTGTAATGAGACGCGATTGCGGCGCCCTGAGGGCTGTCCGCGTAAGGGACATGGCCATGATATAGAGAGTTCGAGTCTGTTGAAAGTCACGATTCCAGAATGACGTCCTCTCCTCCGGGCCAGTGGGAAAAACACTCTGTCTGTGGTCGGGTGAGCTCAGAGCTTCCTTTGGATATTCCGACGTTTGCCCGCTAGACCAGGCAAGCTTGATGTGACGCGGGTGGCTAGTGACAAGCTATTTGCCTCGGCTTTCTGTGGCTGTGCCTCAAATATTGAAAGAGGTATTGGCGGGGAACTCTTGCTTGCTCTTATCGAGACAATTCACCGCCTTCCTTTCTGTTTGTTTGCCCCGCGACTGTGACTGGATCCAGCCAAACCAAACCAGAGTCACCCAATATCAACCGCCACTACACCAACGTCATCTATCGCGAACCTCGTTTCTTACTCATCCACGATTTTTGAGAACCGATACCGAAAATCCCACAGTATTCGACCGACAATAATCGCTACCCAACCAAGTTCTCTTTGAGTAATCGAACACAATGTCTGCCAAGGTTCCTCGCAACTTTCGCCTACTGGAGGAGCTCGAGAAGGGAGAGAAGGGTCTCGGCGCTGAGGCATGCAGTTACGGTCTGGAGGATCCTGAGGATCTTCTCATGAGCAAATGGAACGGCACAATTCTTGGACCTCCTCATGTACGTGCCCCGCTCTAGCATATGGAAGCAATCGAAATTACTATAGATTCGCGAAGATCATCGCTAACCTATCCTGGTTCAGTCCGTCCACGAGAACCGTATCTACAGTGTCAAGATGCACTGCGGTCCCGAGTACCCTGACAAGCCTCCTTCGATCCAGTTCATCAGCCAGGTCAACTTGCCCTGTGTCAACCCCAACAACGGCATCGTCGACCCCAACCAACTGCCCTGTCTCGCCCAGTGGAAGCGTGAGAACACTATGGAGACTGTGCTCATAGAGTTGCGACGGTATGCCAGCGTCATATTAAATCAAGAAAAGCGACATTATATTAACATCCTGCAGATACATGGCCTCGTCCCAGAACAAGAAGATCGCCCAGCCTCCTGAGGGCTCTACCTACTTCTAAGTCACGAACACCTCTACACGCCGTTATGTCAAGATAAAAACCATACGATAAACCAATGAATCGAACTTGAAGATCAACAAAGTCTTTTAAGATGGAGTAAGAAAGAAGCCAACAGGCCATACTCCGCTGTTGTTCGAGAATATATGCGATTATAACGATCGCGAACTACAATATGATATACAAAGCTGCAGAATGCCTCTCCCTTCCCTTCCGTCTTCATCACATTACAGTCCCAGTATCCTCCAATTCCTATTGGCTTTTCGTCACGTTCGTCAGAGAACAAAATTGCTACTCGCTCTTGCGCCTGTCCTCAAGACCAATCCCAGACCCGATGACTCAAAGCAAAGTCGATTTTCGTAGAGATGGTATAAGGCTAGACATTTCGAGATATCCTTAAGAGAGTTGGGCATAGTCGTTTAGGGAAATTTCTCCGTTCCACTTTCATGACAAAGGGGCCTTAGATATCCCCAGTACGCCGCTTTAGCTGAAGTACTCCAGGAAAGATAAAGAGTAGATCGCAGGTAATCATCGCCGACAAAGGAAAATGTTTGATGTGCGTGATCATCAAAGTGACCGAGGTATCCAAGAAATAAAATACTCCAATCCCCAGAATGCTGTTTTAAAATATGTATAAATGAAAAGTGAACGTTGGTGGAACGTATCGTAAATCGCAGTCGATATGTGTGATATGGTATGATGTCTAGTCCTCAAACCCCCATTTCGCAGGGGGTCCAACAGCACTCAGACGAGCCATCTTCTTGTTGACTCGAGGGGCCACAGTAGAAAGAGCATCAGGGGAGATGGGGCTGTCGGGTCGGGGAACACCAACCTCGAGATTCTCGCTATGAGGCTGAGGGCTTCGTTGACGCGATCGGCTCGTTCGACGCTTGACAACTGACTGACGCTCCTTTCGCTCGCTGTGGCGACGCTGCTGGGTGTACATGACAACCTCAGGGACAACATCAGGGACAACCTCTGAACCCTCAGATTCGTCTTCGAATTCGTAATCGTAAAAGTCGCTGAGATCAGGACTGGGCTCAGCATCCTCGATAGAGTGCTCTGCAGCAAGACCCTTGTCGATATAGAGAAGAATACGCTCGCGCTGATGGTGATCATTGTTATGAGGTTTAGGCTCATGAACCTTTTTATTAGAGTGATGAGTAGAAGTGGTGGCTTCAGATTTGCCAGACCAATTTTGGTGGCTCAAGTCGATAACCGTGGTGCCATCAGCAGCAACTGTGGTCTTATCTTTGAAGGTAGGAGGAGCAGGGAAATCCAAGTCGAGGTCGAAGGTCTCTTCGGTGATGGTGGCCTCGGAGGGCTTCGACTGGTGGCCCTTATGGTTGGCCTTCTCGTTTCGGCTGTTCTCTTCCATCTCAGAAAGGATAGAACCGCGCATGATCTGTCGCTTGTGGCGGAGGGCGGCCAGAAGCATCTCCTCCTGGCGAGTAACAGCCATGAAGCGGTTATGGCTTCCCTTGCCATCGATAGAAGAGTGGGCAGAGCGAATGTAGAAGTCGACGGAGCTTGGACTCAGGGGGGGCGTGGGCGCATCAGCGTTGGTAGAGATAGATTCATGGGGAACGTATCTCATCGCAGGAAGGAAGTCGAGCTCTGGTTCAGGATCGTTCTCAGAATCCACTTCCTTATCTTGCTCGGAATCAGTAGAATCTGGACGTCTCTGGTCGGGATACAAGGCGACAACCTTGGCTTCTTGAGAGTTGAAGCTTGGCTTGCTTTGCCATGTATTCGATGTGTTTGCTGATGAGCTGGATAAGCTTTGTGATGGTGATTGTCCGGCGGTGCCCTCCTGAATCGTGTTTGTCGAGCTCCCGGAAAGGGAGCTGGTCCGCGGAGTCACGACAGGATTTCGATGGTGGCCGTTGGGGATGGTCAGATAATTGTTGGAGTTCGATGTTCGCTTGCTCGATCTGCTGAGTCGCTTTGAGCTGTTATCGGCACTTGAGCTAGTTCGTGCGGTGCTTGGGCGGAAGTCGATAGAAGATCCAGCTTCCGACGTCGCATACTCTGGAATCGATGCAGGGCCCTTTGAAGATGACTCAATGTAAACATCATCTTCGGAGTCCGAAGAGAGTGATAGAACACTCTTTTCCTGAAGATCAGACTCTTGGAAACTCCTACTGGTGCGCTTCGAAGCCTTAGACGTCCTCGTGTGTCTACTAGAAACACTAGCAGCGCAGTCTGTAGGTGAAGATTGACCAGGTTTGCTGGCCAGGATAGCTTGGGGCGTTTGAGGTAAATTGCGTTTAGCGTATTGTGAAATGATTTGCTCGTCATGAGCCGGTGGTATGGGTCGATGCTCATGCTTGCTTTGATGAGAAACAGTGGGTTTGAGTTGAAGCAAATCTTTGGATTTAGACTTCTTCACGGTCTTTTCTACCGGATCCGGCGCATCCAACTCATCGTCAGCGATTGAGCGGAAAGACATTTGCTCGTAATGCTCGTAGAGGTTAGGTAGCCCATTTAGGTGGTTGTGCTGTCTGCGATTGTTGCTCTCGCCTGTCTTTGGCCGACTGGCTTCTTCCGAGTTCATTGACCTCAGACTCTCCTTCGTAGGCCGTCTTGAAAGCTTGCCTCGTAGAGATGGCGTGCTTGTTGGCGACAGGATAGATGGTGATCGAACAACTTGGCCCAGCATCGGACCCTCCCACTGATGCTCGGTCTTCTTGCCTCGAGATCGCCCCATCAAGTGAGACAAATCCAGTTTTGCAGGCTTCTTTTTCCTTAGCTTCGCCTCCGCAATGGAGTTCTCCATATCCAGCATTCTTTCCGCTTTTGACGGTAGTCCTTTCGCCATAGCTGAAGCTGACGTCTGTTGGGATATGGCGAGGGGTTGCTTAGTCTTGTCATACCAAGAATGAAGTGTCGAAGAAGACTGTCGTTTCCGGAGAATGCTAGTCATGTCAGACATATCCTCGTCATACTCATCGGTAGGCGCTCCATTGACTCTGAATTGCCGCGGCACGATCTCGGACTCATCTCCCCATTCCCGCATTCCACGATCATGTCTCACAGGAGAACCACGGCTATGGCCATGGCTCGGCTGCGCCTGAGATGTCTCAGGAGCGCCAGGTGCCGCCAGGTTGACCTTTGAGCTGGAGAAATTGTCCCATTGCTGAGGAGCGTCGATGTTGAGAGCTGACGATCCGAGAATCTTTTGAGCTTTGCTCATAGGCGGTGCGGTGACGGTCACCTTTGGAGGCTGCTTCTTGCGGCCTGGGAATGCAAACTTGCCCATGATTCCGGCGACGTCTCTCGGTTATGTCCTGTCTTCCGTCGCCAGATTGAATATTATCCCCCGGTGGGGATTCTCTCGTCAACGCAAGGTCAACTGTCTTTCGCCCAACATGTGGGAGAAGAGCGGTGTCGTTGGAGAGTTAACTGGGAGTTTGATAATTTGCTGCCAGGGAGGCGGTTCGTGGGTTCTAAATATTATCGCGGTAGATGGCAATCCCGGAATACATTCGTCGTCGATCGCAACCGATTTGCCGATGGGACGCCTGCTAGATAATATTAAGAAGTCGCCTCGTCTTTTGGTGTTTTCCAGACTAGTCTTATTGGCGTGCCATATCGAGCCAGGGATTCGTTATGGTATATTCGATCTGCCGTGCGATATCAATCTCGCTTTGCTGCGTATCTTCCCCTCACAGAGTTCCCGCTAAATGGAACGAACGACCCTTAACGATATTGAATAACAGTATAGGAGGGGGAAAGAGTTGGAGGGGATCAGAGGAATAAGAAGACGTCGAGATGAATAGGGACGGTGAATGTCCAGGTGGGTTCAGCAGACTTGGATCTGGCTTGACATGGGTATTATGGGGGTGTAAGAGTTGAAGAGGCGTGCGCTAAGAGGGGGAGGGTGTGAGATGATGATCAAGAAGAGCCTGAAGAGTGAAGACTTTCTCTGTCTTTAATTCAATCCCCGGTCGCAATCTGCTTAGACCCCCGCCCGAGCGAGCGATCACAACCTGGAAAGACTCTCCACCAGCACGCGAGAGGGCAAATGAGAGAGATCTAACCGACCTGATTGAGCCTCCACTGTCCGTCTTGTCCGTCTTGTCAGGTGGAAGAAAGAGCATGAACTGAGGAGTGCGTCGACAACAGGGGTTGACTTGGCACGAGAGAATCGTAATAATAGTATCACAAGAAGATCAGAGCAAAAGAGAAAGAATGGCTTGTTAGGTATTACCGTAGCCCATAACTACAGCTTCTGGTGGCGCGAATACGTACAAACAAAATGCAAATCACCCTCAAATGTGTACTCCTTCTCCGTCCAATTCACCCATTCAGAGAGGTCCAGTGTCAGCTAAAGCATAAACACCACCTGCAAATAGTGGCCAGCTAGAGCCAAACCCGGCCAAGACCCCCGCCATCATTTGCTCAATACAAAGTCAAAAAGTCAAAAGAGAGTCATGGCTTTTCCCCCAAAGGCTCACGGGATTGGGTAGGTCTTCCCAAAGAATGACTAGCGGTGTTGCATGGAGCTGAGGTCAGTCGCTGGAGACTCGATTTACGAATAGCAATTTGCCTCCGACTCCCCTATAGCGCGGCACGTATAAGGGACCTTGTTATTATCATCATCTGTGCCTTGCAGAGAAGCCTTCCATTGCTGTTCGATCTTTCCGATCCCCTTAACCACCCCGTCCAATCAAGTTCCCCAGTGAAGGCCTGAATTGGTTATTTGCACCCACAGAGTGGCACAGAGTGGTAGCCTTGGCTACAATTGCCGCCGGCAATTCATTCTGCCGTTTTCATCTGTAATTCAACTCGACTCAACCAACTCATCTCATCTTTCCCTTCTGCATTCAAACAGAAAATGGACAAGGATTTACCGTTTGGACTGCTAGATTGTGCCGAATGGTGGTGACGGTGGTGAGCCAAACGCTCCCCTCCCTTTCATGTCCAGGGGTCCCCCCGTGAGAGAACACAAGCTCCAGAGACGGCGTGAGGCCAGCGCGGGTCCATCGGGCACGCTATGAAAGACCGTGCTAAGTTAGCCATGCCCTGGCTTCTGGGAAGAATGGGAGAAAAAAAGAAATGGACCCTTGCAGTAGAGGATCTGCTCCCCGCTGCTCCCCCTACACTGAACAAGCAGGGCGCTGAAGACTGTTGAGGCCGCTGAAGATGTCTTAAAGTCCGCTGTAATAACCAGGGCTCGTGTTGTTCTATTGGACGAACAAGTCCTGCTTCATTCAGCTACTGCAGCGCATTGTCTGAGCGCAGGCCGTCCAACGGTCAAGGTTCATCAGTTATTGAAGCTTGAGCTGTGATGAAGTGGCGGTGCAGTGCGGAAGGGAAGCAAGAAAGAGAAGGGGAAAAAATCCAGGAACAAGAAGCAAGAAGCCAGAAGCAGAAGAAGAACTGATCCCATACCAAGACTGGTTAATCAGGGGATCTAACCAATCCAATCGTGGCTGTCCAACTTTGCTTCTTCTCAGATCCGGTGACGATCTCCTTCCTCTTGTCGTTCATCACCCCTTGTTTAACATTAGATCCTTGCAGAAATTCTCATCAACTAGAAAAGGAAGCCTGCGAGAAAAGGCGAATTAACTTTCTGCAGGTACAATTGAGTTCAAAAGCTTGATTCACATGTTAACTCCAAGCCGAAGACCATCCCATGAGGTGAGTTTTTTTTTTTGCTTGTGAGCTCCGAGCTCCCCCTGTGCCTTGTGTTCTACCTGAAGCGTTCGGTTGGTGGTGGGAGCGGAAGCGATGGAAGAGATGGCATGCATATGACTAACTATGACTATCCGTACCTATGACGGATCACAGGGAGGGATGTGATTGAATTCACTAGCGAGGTCCGTGGCACTGACTGGTGGATATTTGCTTGACGAGATGCTTGCGTGCTCTTGTTATGGAGGCCTTGGCCCAGCTATCACGAGGTCCCCCAGATCTTCCTCTTAGGAGTGATCAACGTAGCTGTCAATCTCGGCTGGGCTGTAAGGATATTATGATTGAGTAATTGTCAATCCACACGTTCGGGTTCCAGCTCACCACCAGGTGTTGTCCATCTTCAAATCTTGTGATATTGAATGTTATCAGATGATTCAGGCCGTGCACATTTGACGGTTTGGTTTCACGAATGTTCCAAACGCATTCCACATAGAGCAAATAGCTACCATTTTATCTTGCTAGCTGTTCTAGTTCTTGGTTCATGCTTCCACATGTTTGCCTTCAGTTCGGCTCCCGAAATACAAAGACACATCAGTGCGCCGTGCTTCACATAGTGCGGCACGGGAATGTCATCCGGAGCCTCACAACCTCCCCTTTTCACGTTTACGATAGAACATCTCTATGGAGTTTTTTTTTGTTTATATCATCCCTTCCAAATCTCCATAGCAATATATTTCAACTGTAGATCTCTTTACACGATACTACCTCATCTAGGTCCATGCTTCTCGGTTCCGCATCAGCGGAGATGGCGGTTACAGTCTACTAATGAAAATCCTCGTCTTGTTCAGCTCAAAGTTGAGCATCATTAATCGTCAGCAATTAATTCTACGTGGCCTAGCTTGGCTGAGCCAAGGGATTTTCTCAATCCTTGGTGTCAATCAGCCGAATCTCGTCGGGTAACGCACCTACACCTCTATCCAATGTAACGAAAACAGTGGACAAACCTCAAAGAAGAAGAGCAAGACTCCATTGTCTATCAGAGACTGGAATCTTGGCCGGTTTATTGCCTGCTAGAAACACAACCAACACCAGCGCTAAATTAACGACGGAGGTTTTCCCTTCAGAGGCGGATAGCTCACAGACCAGTAGCTTCTCCCTTTTTTCTTCTCTGCCACTGAAAGCTAAGCTATCGTGAGATTCTTCTTCGTATCCCAAGCTTTTTTTGCCCCTGGGCTTACAGCACAACATGACTCGTTTTTCTGACTTCTCACAGCATTGCCGGCGTCATACCGGAAATTTCCCTAGCGGTGGAGGCGGTCTTGTCCATCGTGATTTATCACAATGCAATGAGCTTCATCATTCATTTGATGACCAAACGTAATCATCAGCCTCCCAGCACAGCACAGTTATCAATTAGCCTGTCGCCTGTCATGATGCTGGACAAGTGATGCTCTTCCTTCGTTCTTTTCGCTAGGCCTGATGTGGTGAACAACAGTTCGTCCACCGAAATGCCACTTTCAGCCACCCCATGCTGTAAACCCGCAGCTAGCGACTCATGCAGGCCAAGACTATTGACTGAGCAATCAAAAGCCGAGGCATACTATTCTGTCTTGATGTTGATTATCGTTCGATTCTGTATATTGCCAATAAATCATTAAATGAGGTGTGATACGAACGCATTCACAATTCTTCGGCGTCCGTTTGTTCTACATTCAACCTCTGACGTCTATTCCCATCCTCATCATCAAGCGATATCCCATATCGGGCCCTACCGTTCCGAAAAGACCGGCCCCTGAAACGCGGGAGCAGCAAGGACCTTGTTTCCTTCGGCCAACTCCTACTGTTAACAAACGGTCTCCCCGAATAAATAAGCAGATCGTCTGGTTATTTTTCTTATTCTGGTGGGTTTCAGGTTATAACTTTCGCCTTTTTGCCTCTTCTCTCACAGCCTTGTCCTTGTGAACCAGAAATCGATATATCACATGAAACACCATCCCGGTGTTTGATAGCTCCAGTGTTTTCCTATTTTTGCTTCTTAGGCTATCTGTGCTTCGAACGAATAATTGGAGCTGCGAGATTCCTTGATTAATTACTGCCCCGTCTTTGCATTGAGCCTACTGCTGCTGAAGGATCTGTGATATTCGGATATATGGGATCCCGAGATAAATGGAGCTGGTTGAGGTTGCATCAAACAAAGCTGACAACTTGATGGAGTCATATAAATTGCTTTTTTGTTTCTCTGCTGCGTCAATTGCAACGTCTCTCCACATGTTAGAGCCAACTGTTCATGGTGTTTGTGAGATATCAAATGCTGTCAAATGCCGAATTATCTATCCGTTCGTTGAATCCGTTTACAGTCTGCACTTCGCCGTTACACGGCCAATGGGACACTTGCATGCATTCACCTTTCTTATTCCATGAAGTCCGGTATGTAGTATTGGCACATTGTTTGGTTTCGTTTATGCGTCAACCAGTTTTCGTCCCATGTTTGCTTTTTTGCAATGGGTCGATTCGATCTTCGCTTGCCTTCTCGCAAAGCCAACCAGTTCCGGAAGGGCATCCTTATGTTTCTGATAGCGATACCCCCAACCCTCAAAGAAAGTCTGTGACAACAAATGATAGGATATGATACAGTGAAGAATCGATGTGGTCAGTTGTGTAGTCTGTAGAAGTCAGCAGCATGTTGGAAGTTCAGAGACCTCGCTGAGGTGCAGGGTAGGCAGAAAGGTCATGGTAATCTCTCGCATACATCCAAAACGGTTTTGCCGGTGCACTCATTTCCATTACTCTTGATTTCGATATATCAAATGTTGTGGGCGCTTTTGGATTATGGTTTACTGCTCTTGTACGAATGTCTTGATGCTAGAAGGCTCTTCTGGTTCAATACCTTGGTGGATTCTGTTTTGGTGGTTGCCATGATTTCTGCAAGTCAGACCACCAATAAATACCTTCTTCCAATATGTACATGATTAAGAAGACTGATTCTATGAGAACAAACAGTTCACGAAGTTACCCCGACTATAAATGCAGAAAGCAGAAGAAGTTTCCGAGTTTGTCAAGTCACTGTAACCACTGTCCTGATATCGATTTGAGCAGCTTGGTAGATAACCACACTATATTGACAACCGGCCAAAAAGAGACCTGGGAGAATTTCTCTCGAGTACACTAATTATTGAGGCCAAATTGTTCTTGTTGGAATAGTTCGGGTATCTTGCCTATGGCCAGGTGCGGCTCTTGTCAAAGCTTCAATTGTATAGACACTGGCACTCGAACTAGGGCCGACAACTTGAATACTAGAAAGATGTCGTACAGATAGAAGCCTGAGGGCTGGAGCACATTGTTCGAGGATAGAGCGAGCTTAAATACGAAATCACATCACCGACTGAAGGACGGAATATAACTTAAATGAACATGTATTTGGAGTATTACTGCCAGCTATATCCTGGATGACTATCACGACATCTGCGCAGTCCCGAGCTTTATCGTTCCCGATTACCACATACGCTCCCAGCACCTCTTCCAGAAAGGCATAGCAGCAAGCTCACGCTTATAGTTCTCCTCAATACCACCCTCCTCCCAGTGCTTGCACTCCTCGTCAACCTCTTTCTTGCCACTGACAAGATCGGCTGTCTCAGGGTTGACAAACTTGGTCTTCTTGAGGACCTTCCAGGCAACAAACAGAATAGCAGCATAAGCGTGGCAGAAGTAGCTGGTGACGAAACCCTGAGTGTTCCAAGGCTCGAACTTGTCGAAACCGATAAAGAGGAGGGCAGTGACACCGAGGAAGAGACCGACGTAGGCAGCCCAGGGGTTGAAAGGAGCGATGTAGTGCAGGGTAGACTTGTCCATGCCCTGAGCGTTGCGAGCGCGGAACCAACCGATGAAGACAACGATCATCATGGTGTAGGTGGCGATAAGACCGGTGGTGGTGAGGTCGACGAACCAGAAGAAGACGGTAACGGAGGACTCGCCAGCGACGAGGAAGGTGATGCAGCTGATGACGCTAACAGTGAGGACACAGTACATGGGAACACCAGCCTTGTTACACTTCATGAGGAAAGCAGGGGCCTGACCATCGCGAGCAAGACCGTAGAGGGTTCGAGAAGAAGAGTAGAGGTAGGCGTTTCCACAAGAGAGACCGGAAGTGAGGATGAGGAAGTTGATCAAGCTGGGGAGACCGTGGATACCAAGGTTCTCAACTGCAAGTTTGTTAGTATCGTGTTTGTCTGTTTGAAGAGAAAATGTGACTTACTGCCAATGACCCAGGGGGAAGCGGCAGCACCAGCGGCGCTGTTCTCAATAGCACCGAGCAGACGCTTGTCATCAGAAGAGCAGATGATACCAACAGCCAATACACCAAGAACGTAGAAACCAACAAGTCGGTAGAAGATGAGCTTGGCGACTCGGGGAATAGTTCGTCGAGGGTTGGCGATCTCACCGGAGGACAGAGAGATCATATCGGGACCAGCAATGGTGAAACCAGCGTAGAGAACAACCTTCCACCAGCCACAGAATTTACCAAGATCTCCCTCAGCGTGGTAGGGCTGCATAGCCTTGCCGCCCTTCCAGTATCGGAATCCATATGCGTCGCCCTTAGGGTTGCCACCGCACATGGTGATGAGAGTGATGAAGAGGAGACCGAAGAGGAGGATAACCTTGAGAGAAGCCATGATGAATTCAGCCTCACCATAGTACCTGAGAAAGCATGTTAGGAATGTCCTTATTTGAAGCTTAGTGATTTGCACTTACTTAACAGCAACAACGTTGAGCAGGACGCAAACGACCATGGCCATCGCAACCCAAGCTGCAGGATTGATGTCAGGAACCCAATATTGCATCAGTGTTGCTACAGCACTGTATTCGACACAAACAAGCATAAGACCGGCGTAGAAATAAGTCCATCCCATAGCAAATCCTATTCCATATTAGCTGAAATTCTGTACTAATCGTATGCGAATCGTACCAAGTGCAGGGTCGACGAAACGGGCAGCAAGCTCAAAGATGGAACCACGGATAGGAAGATACGAGCACATCTCGGCAACACACAAGTTGCAAGGCCAGACGAAGAAGACACCCCAGATCAAGTAACCGAGAACGACAGACAGAGGACCAGCAGAGGAGAGAACACCACCGATACCAACGAAGAGACCGGTACCGATGGAGCCACCGATAGCCATGAGCTGAACATGTCGAGGGGAGAGACCTCGTACGGTCCGGCCATATTCTCTATCGACGGAGTTGTGATCGATCAAGACACCGGGTGAAGTGTCTGAAACGTTGGGAGCCTCGACGGCTTTTGACTCGGGGTCTTCTTGATAACCCATGGTGAAGGGTAGTTTAACAAAGACGAGATCAGTCTTGAATACTCAATCTCTTAGAAGAGTAGGACTCCTAGTGGAATGGAGATGAGGTTATGGGAGCAATGTCGTGGAGACACAAGCCTGGATATAAGAACAACTAGGGAGGGGGAAGATCGCCCTTTAAGAATCAAGTTGACTGTAACCATGATCAAGATTATGGATCATGACAACCGGCCCGGTTTTCTGTAAGAGGAGCTCATCATGTCGATTAACATGACAAGGAGGCAGAGCTATGGCATTCCTAATACCAGAAAGCTCAAGTTCCCCGATGTTGGACATACGGAGGTGAGAAGGTATGCAGCGCTAGGCAAAGCTCTCCACCGCGGTAACGGATATGCTTTTAGGTACAGGGGCATGATAAGCAATGCATTCAACGGCGTGTCAAGCACTGCTGATCATCTTAACCAGCAGAGAGGTGAGATCGAGTTCACCTCAACCGGGCCGGTTGTATCGTCTCAAAATGGTAAGTACGGGCGACAGAGTGCCATTATGTGGGGGAATAGCAGAGGAGCCATGACTCGGCCTTTTCAAGCGATTGTGTAGTGTAGGATTTCCGTGTAAGTGATGGCTTGAGGGAGGATTACGGTGGTGTTTGGGGGAGCGCTAGAGGTGCTGCCAAGACAGGCGAGACCAGGTTTAGCGAGAATTGGGGACCGATCCTTGTCTCTTTGGTATGGGGACTGCGGGCAACGGTTATCAGAGTGGTTGTGGATGAGAGGAGGGAGATAGGCAGTTTCACGGCGTGGCCAAGACGGGACAAGAAGGGGGGATCCACCGCGGTTGAAGCTTGGTTGATAGACTGACAGTGATGACTTATGAGTTGATCATACGAAAGAGAGTGTTCTTTGCAATGTGTAAGTTGAAGAGAAAGTCGCTCAATACTAACTAGTCCTCCCTGATAAGCCATGATCATCAAACACAATCGGACTATCCGTACAGTGGCATTGGGCTCCTCTTCTCCCATTACAGAGCCCTTCCCTCGAGCTTAGCTCAGTCCCAACGGCTATACCGAGTACCGTTACCCCGAGATCATCAGAACATCTCCAACAGCCCAGCTCCAGCGCGCTCCGAAGCAAACACGCAAACACTCCAACACACGCGGCTCCGATGCAAGGTTCTTACCCCAGACAAGTTCAAGGTCAAGTCCATCTCGTACGTAATGAAATACAGCGGCTTTCGTACCGCATTTGCTCAGCATCGTGTGGGGAAAGTTCAGGTGCGGTACTCGGTACCGAAAAGGCGGTTACTTGCAGAACAAAGCAAAACTACCGCGCTAGAGAAAGTCTCTTCTGCAGTGGCACGAGGTCAAAGGGAACGAGAGGAGAAATGCGGGGGAAGTTGGTAGAAAAATTGCACGCGGTTTTTTCTGCTTGGGTTAACTTAACTTAGGTTAATTTTAAGCATGGGTTTAAGCGTGTATGATCCCAGTCTGGTCGGACTATGGCCGATTTCATTGCGAGTCATTATTACGTGAGTGATATTGTGCCCAATTGATGAGTTCCTTTTCAAGTACAAACGAGAGAGGAGAATTGGAGAAAAGGAAAAGCTTGTCGATTGTAGCTTAGAGGGATATTCCGACCTGACCTGACTTGCTGTCCGTCCTCTGATACAAACCCTGTAAGAAGATGGGTCTCTTGAGTCTGTCTTCTTATCAGTAACACCCCTGACCACGCCTAATTTGGTTGGAGAATGACAACTCTGGCAGAGATAAGAGAATGGAGAATGCGGAATTGTTCTGTATGCAGTCTAGAGTGAGTCTAATACCAGACCCCAATTCAACCTCTGTATTTCTCCAAATCTGCAGCACATTATTTCTGCGAATGCCTTCACTCAACTCCTACCTAGCTACAGCATTTCCCCAGATCTATCCATCTGTCAAGATCTCTGCTCCCCCGCAAGCTCCAGCAAACAAGGTGAAATCTCTCCAGATAAAAATCTGGAGAATCCTGAGTCCCGGGCTCGCGGGGCCCCACGAATATCGAGTCAGCGAAACGTAATGAAAACAAACTTGGGCACTCAATATCAAGTGGCATCACCGACGTGCCATCTTTTTCTCTCAACGGACCAGCGGACAGCAATGAAACTGTGGGCACGGAACCACCCGGCCCCTCTTGTATCATTCTCATCTTCGACTTTACGATTGTCTCCGTTTTCAGTACAAAGAGGCTGAAAAAAAGTCTGTTGCTCTCCCGGTTCCTAGCATCGGTACAACATCCCGGTTATTTACGTCCTCACGAACTACTGTAAGCCCAGCGCCACAATACAAGTATAGAACCTTTTCTCATCCTCGTGAATGGGTAGAAATGTCTTCTAGAAGAGAATTGAGACCGACAGGAACCGGCATCTGATGAAGCTAGGGGTGTTTATGTGTGTGTGGAGAACAAGTGCAATCCTTGTCACGATAACAAAACCTCAAGCCGAAATCGTAGCTGAAAATAAGCTTGAAAACTAACTAACACATGAGCCGTCGGTAGTCTGGCATCAGACTATTTCCTAGTCGTGTTCTCTTACCTATTTCTTCGAGTGAACCGGCCCGGTCGACGAGACTGATTTTTCGGCATCAGACGTCTTGAAGCTGATATCTGGGGGTGGATCCTCATGTTGATCTTGGCGGTTGATGCCAAGATGATAGGCACAGAAGCTCGTCTGATTACTGTCGATGCTGAATCATGGATACGTATCTAATGTGATCGATTGCTGGGGTGCTGTCGATAGATACTCTCACGATCAATAATTGCCCCTGAAGAAAAAGGAGTATTGAAGAGACATGGCAGGTAGACATGTCAGTATCACAAACTTCACATCAAATTCCTTCTGACCAAATCGCACAAACAAATTGCACAGACGCAGCTTTTGATATTTTATTTCCAGTTCACGCTTTCATGTCTTCCCGAACCTGTATCCCATACCCTGCCTTTTCCTCATCAAAAGAAACGCTCCGTATGCCTCAATAACATAAACCAGTCTCAATAGAAGACTCCTTAACTAATGTCAAATGACGCCTGCGCTCCAAGATATGTACCAATGCCAGGAACGTCAACATGATCACCATTACCCGATGCTAGCATTAGCCGGCACCTCCATTGATCCTACTCTACCATGCGGCACATGCATTTAATGCCCAATCAATGCCATACAAGGATCTGAACTGCCACGCCTATTCTGGACCCGATGCCCCGGAATCAGGGCTGGTACTCCATCCTTGGGTTGTGGCATAGTCGTGGCCGTTTGGGTCTCAGCGGTCTAGGTGTGCTCTAAAGATACCGGGTCTTGAGCCACTCTTCGTCTCGCAGTCCTAGATTCAGCCCGTTCTGTGTCCACCATCGTCGAACTGCACTCTGATCTCCTATGCTGTCCTCAAGAGCCTCTTCGATGTTGCACGTCCGGAATTCTACCATCTGCTTTCGACCCTCCATACCCTCGAGCTCTCCATGAGCAAAGTTACGCCACCACTCGAGCACAGCTAAGTGCTTGAATATGGTCGGTGAAACGAGAACCTCGGCGTCAAACACGAGCTTGTCATCTCCTTTCAGCCGTCTCCAGGTTTCTAAGACCTCGACTTGGCCCCAGCGGCTTGCCATCTTGGCGACGCTGTCACCATGAGCAGCAGGGATACCTGAAGCGTCCCACCACCGCAACACATCAGCTTGTCCATGTTGTGTTGCCCATAATAGTGACCGGCCCGGTCGTAGAACGACCTTGTCGTCCTGTGCTGCTGCATCGCGCCACCACTCGAGAACCAAGAGATGTCCATTCCCGCTAGCTTGCTCCAGCGCGGACTCTGTATAACGCATCATCAATCCAGACCGACGCCACCACCAATCTAAAACACGAACATGCCCAAACTTAGAGGCGCCGTCGACAGCTTCTGCGTCATATACATGACGGTCTCTGAACCATGCGCTCTGTTTCCAGTAGTCCAGCACATCAGTACGTGGATAATAAGCGGAGGCTTTGGTTGGTAACGTCGTTCCATCAAATGCTTTAAAAAGATCAGGTCGGTTGGCTTCCATATACGCCAACACGTCAATAAGACCGAATTTGATCACTAGTTTAATAACCAGTGCTGATATATCGTGGAATTCTGGTGGAGATTGCGATATCTTCTTACATATCGCCGCGGAGTTGCATGTCAGCACTGTCCACTCGAGCTCGTGCTCGTACACCTTCAACAGATCGTTACGGTCTCTGGGCTGACTTGTCCACGGTGAGGGCATCGGTAGGTTGGTGTACATTCCTAGAGCCTTGGCGAGTTCCCAGTCTCCTGCATAATCGAGGATGATAGTCCAAATTTCCGGCGGTAGCTTGGATTGGACTGTTACGTCCGCATTATCAGTCATTGCCATTCCGGTGGCGACCTCAACATCTCTTCCCAATCCTAGCAAGTCGGCTTGGTTCTTTATAATGCCCAGCACTTCGTTAAAACCGTTCCAGTTAGGTACTCGTTTCGGGTTTGGCGATCCTTCGTAATGCCATAATATCGGCGTCACCACACGTATCCAATTCCATTTCCGATGCAATTTACTCAAGTGCTTCTTGGTCATTGGATTTGACCACATATGTGTGCTCATGCCGGGGACCAAGACAATGCTCTTTTGTGTATCCCATCCTCTGAGCACTTCGCCGAGGAATGTATCTGTAACGCCTGCTAGCATCTTTGCGATGCTGTCTGCATCAAGTGGTACGCAGACCATCAGATCTGCCCACTCTACTAGTTCGAATGCTTGTTGCCGATAGAATTCGATATCGTCGGCCCGATCGCCCGCTCCCATAGCCAATCCCCGGTTCTGCATAACAATTATCGTTTGTGTCAATCGCGGGACTACATCGTCGACAATCGCTCGAGCTTCTATCTGTGGATTTTTCGAGAGGCGCACGACGAGCGCTTGCGCCCAGGACGTATCGCGGGGTCCAGTGGCGGCGACGAGAAGGCGGAGTTTTCGGTTGCGGGCCATATCGTGGAGAGACGAGGTAGAAGCAAGAGCGGGACTCAGCCGCGGCGAAAAGGAATGATGGTGTGCCATGCTGGAAGATGACCCGGATCCAACATGGTTTGCATGAGATAGATGAGGAGGGCAAGCGGTGAAGTTTGAAGGCGAAAGGTTGTGACGGGGCATCAAATCACTGGTTCAACGAGATGCGGAATCACGTGGCGCTTTTCTGATTGATGCGATAGTCTCGAGAGTACGTAGAGAGGAAGTGGCTGCTCGATTGGAGTGTAATGGTCGGTCGTTCGAATATAAAAATCGTAAGTCGTAAATCAGTCGTCGAGTTGAAGATTGCTTAGTTAAGATCAGTCGAATGATGCTCTCGGAAGGGTCTGACTGGGGCAACGACTAAAGAAAGAAAGCAACTCGAGTCTGCTCCAGTTTTATCCTGGTAAGGTTCCGGTGCAAGCCGGTAATAGAGGGGGCGAGGGGCAGTTCTTTGTCTTTATAGACGCGGAGTGATAAGAGCTGAGATGACGTCGAATTGATTGTATTGAGGAATTGAGAGCGTGGAATGGAATTCGGAGAATTGTTCGACTTATTTGAAGCTGTCATTTCTCATCGAGTTCGAGAGTTATCATGTCATAAAACACATCATAATAATGCCAAAAGATTATACTCTTCCCCAGTTATAACCCCGGCATATTGTTATCGGGACTGGTACAATTTCACCATCAAATATCAAGTCTCTCGTCTTGAATATTTCTTGAACCCCGAGAGCAGCTGACGGTTATGTCTAGTTTTGCTCATCATGACCTCTACACCTTGAGTCCATACACATTTTAGAGTTCAGCCTCTGTAAATCTACTTCGAATTCAGCTCAATCAAAAGCGATGAAGACGACATCAATCACATGACCCAGCACCTTTAGCCTTTTGGCATACAAAGTATTCTAGCTCCCGACTGCTCCACAACTCGACACCCGAAGATGGAAAACTTTGAACCGCATTGTTGACTTTTGATCTTAGTCAGAGGCTATTTGATCTTCCTTCTGGTCCTAACAAACTTCTTCCTCTTTTGTGCATCACGTTCAGCCTATCCCCGGCGTTGATCATCGACCTGAATCACATACCTGAACTTCCCGATCCTGACCGAGGCGTTGCGCTCACGGTTATTTATTCCTCGCCGCCAAAAATTCTTCGCCCCGCTCTTTTCTCTTCCCTTCTTTGACAATGTTGGACCAAATGGCGAACGAAATCAAACTCATCTCGGGGAGCTCCCACCCGGAGATCAGTGCCAAGGTCGCCAGTCGGTATGTTATCATCATTTTGCGCTCCTCCTGCAATCTCTGGCGGTGACGCTGCGCCTGTAACTGAGGGTGCAAGTTGCTGATATATCTCAGACTCGGCATTGATATCGCAAACACTATGAGCTTGAACTACTCCAACCGAGAGACTAGTGTTTCTATCGGAGAGTCTGTTCGTGACGAGGACGTGTTTATTCTTCAGTCTACTGCTCCTGGAGATGTTAACGATGGTCTCATGGAGTTGCTCATCATGATTCATGCTTGTCGAACTGCTTCGGCCAGACGGATCACTGCTGTTATTCCCAGCTTTCCTTATGCGCGACAGGACAAGAAGGACAAATCACGAGCTCCTATCAGTGCTAAGCTGATTGCAAACATGCTCCAGGTTTCTGGTTGCGTACGTGTTTCACTAACATGATGTTTGACAACCTACTGACCATGACTCAGAATCATGTTATCACAATGGATCTTCACGCCTCGCAAATTCAGGGCTTCTTCAACGTCCCCGTGGACAACCTCTACGCTGAACCTTCCGTCCTTCGCTGGATCCGCGAGAACCTCAGTGTCGACAACTGTGTCATCGTTTCTCCCGATGCCGGTGGAGCCAAGCGTGCTACATCTCTTGCTGACCGCCTGAACACCGGTTTCGCTCTCATCCACAAGGAGCGACCCCGACCTAACGTTGTTGGTCGCATGGTTCTTGTCGGCGATGTCAGCGACAAGGTCGCCATTCTTGTTGACGACATGGCCGACACCTGTGGCACTGTAAGTTATGCATAACCTCTTGTAAGTGACACAATCTAACCTCATTATAGCTCGCCAAGGCTGCTGCCACAGTCAATGAGCACGGCGCCAGAGAGGTGTATGCGATTGTCACTCACGGTATTCTGAGTGGTAAGGCCATCGATACCATTAACAACTCATGCCTCTCTGGTCTCGTTGTCACCAACAGTAAGTAACCCAACATGTGCATCTCAAAGACCTTTGCTAACCTTTCCCAGCTGTTCCTCGTAAGCTTTAAACCCAGTTTTGTGCATACGCTTGTGCGCGTGTTGCGTGTTCACGCGGTTTGCTAACTTCAATAGTGGGTGACAAGATTGAGCGATGCCCCAAGCTCAAGGTCATTGATGTGTCCGGAACACTTGCTGAGGTATGATACATCGCATCTTGCAGGCGCGTTCTGGTACTGACCAAATACTCAGGCTATTCGACGAACTCATAACGGAGAATCCGTGTCTTACCTCTTCAACAACGTCCCCGTTTAAAGTCCTTAGATACTAGAAAGCAAGGTGAAAAAACAAGGTTATGGAGTTGGTAGGTTTGGTCGTTTCGATGAAGCCGCAGTTGCGAACTAACAGCCAGCAAGCGGCGTCCTTCTATTAGAACTGAGGCTTGGGCCAAGTCGGATTTTCAGTCATTTGGGTAAAACTTCCAAAACCCACAAAAAGAGATTTACTAGACTATATGTTGCACGAATTTGCTAGAAGCTGGATCCTATGTTCAGATGCATGTGCGATGTTGGCTCCACGCACATGCAGTTCTGTTCCGCACGAACTTGGATTGACTGCAGGTTTCCTTCTGTTCAACCATTTAGTAGTACGTATGAGTTGAGTTTTAGTATTCAATCGATCCATCGACTTGAATCATGATACTGAGTAAAGAACTTGTAAAGAATCTCAAGATTCAGCTATTGAAGGGTTCTTGCGGGATGCTTTACGAGGCCTGCCAGTGTCTTGGGACAAAGTTACTTTGAAGGCGATAGATACGGCAGGTTATCTGTTTTGATGAGGAAATCCTTTCCTTGCAATGAGCCCTGTTTCCATTTGTGGTTATGAGGTCTGTTGGGCTTCTTGGAGATGGTGTTTGATGGAGATGCTTGAACCGCCGTTCAAATTGGAGTAGCAGCGAATTTTCAGTACTCGAAAGGTAATTGCACTGTATTGTACAAAATTCCATAGGAGAAGAAAATAACAAACCATATGAAAATGAACAAGTTCTAACAAGATTCTGAAGAAGTCATGATGGAGGCGCATCTTTGCATGATTGCAAGGGTCGCTCTTCCAAAGCCCCACGTGAATAGCAGGCGGTGAATAATTCTGCCGCCTCATCTACAAGGGACACATCACTGCCTACGAGCATCAACGCATCGTAAAGAGAGATACATCATCGAACAACAAGAAAATTTGGGCTCTTCAGCTGCATGGACCTGCAGAGAACTCACATGCTCTGTTCTGAGCTGAGAACTCGCGCGGATTGCCCAAGATGACGACGCAACTCCTTGCCACGGAGCTGGCCAATCTCATCCAGGAGAGCAAGAGGAAACATAATGATTTGCGACAAGTGAGCCGCTTTATTCATCGCCATGAAGAATATTAGCTTATGATGAATACAGGCTGCGGAGAAATCGTTAGAAGAGCTGAAAAACTTGAGAAATCCTTCTGAACAAACAGCACCTGAAGGTCCGCAAGCTACCCCCTGTTAGTGGAAGCTATATCTGACTCGAGACAGAGCTATCTCAAAAGCCCAACTTTGTCAACCCATTCATCATCGCATGTGGTACCAAAAATGCCAAGTTTACCGCCATCGCTATTGTCTGTCTTCAACGTCTCATCGTTGCGCAAGCTCTTCCGCGGTCAAAGCTGAACCAAGTGCTGGAGGCCTTGATGCAAGCTACCTCAGCTGGTCTGGATGTGCAGCTCAAGATCTTGCAAGCGCTACCCTCACTTGTTCAAAATTATGCATCAGATCTTAAAGGAAACTTGTTGGTGACGACATTGAACATTTGCTTTACTCTCCAAAGTAGCAAAAATGCCATTGTGAACCATACATCAGCAGCGACGCTACAGCAACTGGTCGTGTCTGTGTTTGACAAAGTTGTCGCTGAAGACAAGAAAGCAGGCGATACGCCTACGGCAAACGATGCTGAATATTCAGAAAACCATCCTGCAGCTACCGATGCCTACCGTATTTTCAACGATCTGTGCCTTATGACCGAAAACCAGAGACCAGAATTCATCCGCGTTTCGGGGCTTCCACAGACTTTCGGCCTGGAACTCATTGAATCCGTCATCACAAATCATGCCACCGTCTTCAGTAACCACCCCGAGCAGGCTCAGATTTTACGAAGCAGAGTAATGCCACTCATCATTGGGGCCTTGAAGGGGAAACCGAACTTCGCGACCACAGTACGCCTGGTGCGCATTCTGTACACTATGCTGCGTAGGCACATCGTCATTTTGCCATCAGAATGCGGTGAGGCGCTGACTGTTCTGACACAAATTCTCGATCAAGATGAAACCGTCTGGAAGAGAGCACTGTGTATGGAAGTTTTCCGTGGAATCTTTGCAGACCATGCCCTGCTCAGACGAATCTACGCAATGTTTGATGCTAAAGAAGGAGAGAAGGATGTCCTTAAGCCCTTGATTGCCACTTTCGTGCGCTTAAGCACAGAAAAACCTGCTGTAATTGGACTCGGACATTCATCGTCACTCCCTACAACTAGCTCGAGCACAAATGGCTCTTCTGAACAAGCCATTGCTGAAGCGAGTGGCATGACAGGTCTGATGACAGGGCCAGTTGGTGCAGAGACGACAACAACGGGTATCAGCACCCAATTCAGCTCAGTTCGGGTTCCTTGTATCGATCAGCTCGATAAGACGGAGGCACCTACTATACCAGAGTCTTATCTCTACAGCTTGGTGTTGGCTTGTATATCGTCTGTATCTGACGGTCTTGCCAAGTTCATACTACCTCTCACAGTTCCAAATGAAACGAGGAACCGAAAAAGAACCTCTCGACAAGAATTTGGTCGCGATTCACCTGCACCGTCGTCTGAGCAAGAGAGTACACCACCCAGAGGGAAGATGGAAAGGTCGGCATCTTTTAAGAAGAACCCAGTTCCACTAAACCCGCTCTCCTTAGAGGACCATCCTCTCCATTCCGAAGTCAAGATCTGTGCTACAATCGTTGAGGAGTGCTGGCCTGCGATTCTTGCGACCTGCTCTACCTTCTTATACGCTGCACTCGATTCCGAATACTACCATGGACTAGTCCGTGCCTTCCAACGATTTGCCCACGTTGCTGGGTTGTTACAATTATCGACTCCTCGGGATGCTTTCCTTACAACTTTGGGCAAAGCCGCCGTCCCACCTAATGTTCTCACAGCTTGTGTCAATGCTGGCCAACCTCGACCACAAACACCAAGCACACCAACCGACGGCAGTCTCTTTAGCAACGCCCGAGGCCTTCTGAGCGTTGATAGCCTGACGCCCACCACCCCCACGGCCGACAAAGGACGACAGGCCTCATTTGATGCTTCTGTCGCTTCTTTGAATACTCGAAACTTGCTATGTCTTCGGGCACTTCTGAACTTGGGCATAGCGCTGGGTCCAACTTTGGCAGGAGCTTGGAGTATCATTCTGGAGACACTTCAACAGGCTGACTTTGTACTTTTTGTAAGCGGAAAGTCTCCTGGCAGAACACCAACTATGAACCGAGGACCGGATGCAGGTGGTGACAGTGAAGCTGCAACGTTGATGGCCAACTTCGGCTCCGAGGTTCGTGCGGTGGAAACAGCGGCATCCAGACTTATTGAGAGCACGGTTGACTTTCCCAATGAGTCATTCCTGAAAGTGGTAGCAGCTGTCTGTAGTTTGCTGACACAGAAGCCAGTTGAGCAGCCTGAGATCACCAATCAGCCGCAGACACCGTCTGATGGTCAACAGCTCAAGGCTCCCGTTGTACAGGGCCGTAGGTTTTCTGGTCAGCAAATGAGTTCTGGGTCAACTCAAGAAGATCAATTCGCACTTGCTAAGCTTGGCGAGCTTGCCACAATCAACATTGAGAGATTATTGGAGTACAGTCCAGAAGAATCTGGTTGGGACGTGTTGACTAATGAGCTGATTGACACTCTCACCTCTTCTTCCATGAACTCATCTGTCAGAACCAGGGCAGCAGACATTCTTGTGAAACTAGTCCTGGAGGCTGCCAATGTCACTTCTTCCCTGCCGGAGGAGGCTCGCGGGGAGATTCAGCTCCGGTTCTTTGAGGCCCTCCGTAGGTCACTGGCGCCTCTCCTCAAAGGTGACCGAGAAGTTTCCCTTGCTAGTCATTCAACAGATATCGATATTCACAAAATCATCCTCGATGGTCTTCAAAGCATCATTGAGGGCAATGGAGAAACATTGGTCAAGGGTTGGGACATAGCCTTCGAGATCATTGGCACCATCTTTATTACTAGGGAATTCGATCCTGCTTACCGCCGCGGCTCAGTGGCCAACCCCATTCTTCTTGACACCCGATCAGCAAGACTTATTAGGTCTTCTTTCAACTCTCTCCAACTCATTTGTTCAGACTTCCTAGCGTCGCTACCAAACTCATGCTTCTTGATCCTGGTGGACAATCTGTACAAGTTCTGCTCACAAGATGATGATCTCAATATCGCTTTGACTGTAAGTTGCTAGTAACTTTGTGGGGGTAAATAATACTAATTCTCTTTAGACGGTGACGTTTTTCTGGGTGCTGTCAGACTTTCTCTCAGCGAAGAATGAGTCTCTCGCCATCACTGCAGACATGATGCAAAACACTGAGCTTTCTGATCTGGAAAAGATGGCAGCTGATCATGGCCATAAGAGCTCTGATGCAGCATTGTGGATGTTGCTTCTGCTGCGACTGACCAATGTTACCACTGATGACAGACTCGAGCTTCGCAACAGTGCAATTCAGACTTTGCTCAGGATCTTTGATGCCTACGGTGATCGACTCAGCCCTGAGTCTTGGTCGATATGTGTCAAGTCGGTTGTCTTTAAGCTCTTGTCATCGATCGAGCAGGAGATCAAAGTTCTACAGTCGGATGAGGAAGAAGATGCCGAGGACAGTGACCGGGCTGAGTGGACTGAGACGGCTGTTGTTGTTCTCAACGGCATCTCCAGCCTCCTCGCTAATTACCTTGATATTCTTACTGGCCACCCCTCATTCGATCACCTATGGCAAGAGTTACTTTCTCATCTCACCACCCTACTTGACTTTCAAGTCCTTGATATCAACACCGCAACCTTCAAAGCGCTTGCTCATATTCTGTCTCAGACGACCACTGAGGGCAAGTCTGTCTTCAGCAAAACAGCGATCGATATTGCGTGGGATCTGTGGGCAAGAGGAGTTCCGACCTCCAAGCCTGTTGATGAAAAGGCTGAAGACAACCAGAATTGCCTCATTGCATATGTATCTGCCTTGACAGAGATCTATCGACTTGTACAGGAAGATCTTGAAGTGAAACGAGTTGGTAGAATTCTGACACTTCTTCGAAAGACTTTGGACGAAGCCTCAGTTGGCAATTACGTCCAAGATATCGAATATGTGACGCCTTTACAGGCACATATTCTCGAAGCTGTCCAAATGATTCGAACAGATGTTGAGGGAGCGCCATCGGCCATGATTACTCAAGTTGCGGATTTTCTGGTCTTGCCTTTTATGCAGGCCAACTTCTCAAAGCCAGGATCTAAACGTACTTACATTGCGCTTTCAAAGGCGAGCATGAAGACACTCGAGAAGCTTATTCTTGAGCACTCGAAGGACTCAGACATCTACCGCAGCAACTCCTTCTCTGAGGCTTTGAAGGCTTTATGCAAACCCATTGAGTTAAAATACGGTTTCCCTACGATAACGAAATCCACGCAACCATGGAGGCTAGCTGCATCTACAGCACTTACCATCCTAGAAGCGACTTTGTCGCAGATCACCAGCCTTGAGCTGCCAAACGGAGTTGCCCAGAATATCTGGACCACGATCGTCGCCATTGCTGATGGTGTCATGAGCGCGGACTGCAGTGTTGCTCCTCCAGGTACCGACTTCGCAGGCGACGAAGAGTTCGACATTGCATCTTTCCACAAGCTGCGAGAACTCATTACTCCCGCACTTGGAGCCGCAGCTGTTTCTGAGAAGGCTCGCAAGGCTTACGCCGCAAGCCTTTTCAAGACTTCAGTAATTCATGCCCCCTCGCCAGATGAAGAGTCGATCATCAACGGCACACACGAGAAGGGCTTATCAGCCCTCTATGCTCCTCGTGCAGGGCGAACAGTATCGGTGTTGCCGACCAGGCGTGTGAAGATGGCTTATGTCGCTTGTGAGGTGCTGTTTGGTTTGGTTGCTGCTAAAGATGAGCCAACAATTGTCATCCAACCCCCAACACCCAAATCACCAGATCCAATGCATAGCCAGTTTGCCGAGTCACCTATTACTCTTCACGCCCGCATTGCCAGCACAGCTGCACCATTCCTCATTCTTCGGTGTGCGTTGACACTGAGGGCTTACATCGCTGATCAACCTCTGCGAGGCAAGATGCCCCAACCCCTAAGCCAGCGAAGGGAATTATTGTGGATTCTACAAAGGCTGGTCGAGTTGAAGAGCGACAAGGGCGCCATTCCAGAATTGGATAATATTGAGAGTGATGAGAGAAAGCATTTGTTGAGATTATATCCTCTTATTGTACGAGCATCTGGTGTAGTTGGTGACGAGAAGGTTGGCAGCCTTTTGAGAGAGGCTTTGGAGGTTGTAGGAGATGAATTGGGGTTTTAGCGATAGACTCTTGTTCAGACACGAAAATTATGTATTTAATTAGACAGCGTTATCTGAGGAGTTTGTCATAGACATCCAAATGAATAGCAAAACGACCTGAATTCGCAAGCCAATCCGGTCTTATGGAGGGGTACTTCTAAGAACACCCCACCAACCCACCATCTTCAACGCGGGGCACCAAATTCAGATCCAAAAAAAATTCAATCTCAGCATCAAGACCAAGACACATCGACACAATGGGAAAGTCCTCAAAAGATAAACGCGACGCCTACTACCGGCTTGCTAAGGAGCAAGGATGGCGCGCTCGAAGTGCCTTTAAACTTCTCCAATTGGACGAGGGTAGGTCGCCGTTAAGATCAAGCAATGCTCTGTAGCTAACATCCTCCTTCAGAATTCGACCTGTTCGCCGATGTCACTCGAGTCGTCGACCTATGTGCCGCACCCGGAAGTTGGTCGCAAGTACTATCCCGCGTACTGATCAAGGGCGAAAAGTTTGGAAGGGCTGCTTGGCAGGATAAGGAAGCCAAGTTTCGACAGCAGATGCTGGGAATAATACCCAAGGACAGCGACAACGAGCAAATGACGGAAACTGAGAAGGTTCAGGAGGAGCAACAAGAGACTACAAAGCCCAGAGAAGATGTCAAGATTGTGTCGATCGATTTGCAACCTATTTCACCACTTGCGGGTATTACAACACTTCGAGCCGATATCACACATCCTGCGACAGTTCCTCTGCTACTTTCAGCTCTTGACCCTTCTTATGATCCCAAGACTGCTGGCACCCAGGCCTCGCACCCGGTTGATCTAGTTCTGAGCGATGGAGCTCCTGACGTGACAGGTCTTCATGACCTCGACATCTACGTCCAGTCTCAACTACTCTTCGCCGCCTTGAACCTAGCCCTCTGTGTCCTCAAGCCTGGAGGCAAGTTCGTCGCCAAGATATTCCGCGGAAGAAACGTCGATGTTCTCTACGCCCAGCTCAAGATCTTCTTTGAGAAGGTCATCGTCGCCAAACCCCGAAGCAGTCGCGCAAGCAGTGTGGAAGCTTTCATTGTGTGCATCAACTTCCAACCTCCCGCCGGTTTCCGCGCCAGCCTCGAAGAGCCTCTCGGTGTTGGTGGACGATTGGAGGAGATGCTCAAGGAGAAGGGTGATGTTGACATGCAGGATTCGACGATAAAGGATGAAGGTGTCGTGGAAATGGAGGTTTACGACGAGACGACCGAGGACACGGAGAGAAGCACTCGATGGGTTGCACCGTTCATTGCCTGTGGAGATCTATCCGCCTTTGACTCCGATGCATCATACCAGCTCCCTGAGGACTACGTCTCTCTAGATCCCGTCCAGCCCCCCATTGCTCCCCCGTATAAACGCGCCATTGAGATGCGAGCCGCCATGTCCGGATCACAGCGCTAAACAGATTTTGCAAATTCTCAAACACAAGATGAATAACCCAGCAAGAGAGTTCTGAGTAAATGCATCGCTAGATAACAAAAACACAAAAGCAAAAGCACATCAATGCTTGGGCGTGGGCTTCTCGGCTGGACCGGCCATTTCGAGCATTACTAGCCCGGCTGATGGTCCCTTTTCGAACTCTTGGGCGCCTAACTCCCTTTGATACAGCCGAGCTGCGGCTTGGTCGTGCGTCATAAGGAGAAGCCCACGCATGTGCTTCCATTCGTCAACTATCTCTTTGAGAGCCTTCATCAGCCATGATGCTAAACCCCGCCGCTGGAATTCCTCGAGGACAAATACGTCTGTGAGATAGGCGAGAGTTACATAGTCGGTCACCACACGAGCGAAACCGACCATCTTATGCGGAGAGCCATCTTTGGGTTGAGCGATGCCATTCCCTGTGTCACTGTTAGAAAAGGGAGAATTAAGGATCGGTTGCGTTTCAGTTGGCTTACTCTTCATCTCTTCGGCGGTCTGTGGAGTATAGTACACCGCCAAAGTCAAGCAGTTATCCAGCACTCTTTGGAGTTGTCCTTGCGGCAAGGGGCTGCTCCACCAGTTGTCATCGAGAGACTTGTTGAAAGTTTGGGGACACAGATAGGACTTGTCGTTTGTGAGGAAGAAGTTATCACGGTACCAGAACCGGGGGGCACCCTCAGCCTGGTTCAAAGAGTCGTGGGAGCCCATATTGATGAATATACGAGTTAACGATATTGTCTTCAAGTTTCGAAAGTTTGGTGTTTGGTGTTTGGTGAGGGTTCCCGAGGGCTTGGTTTGAGTCGGTAGGATACAGGAGATGGTCACACAGCTTGAATCGAAAGCAAACAGGACTTTCGTGTTACCCAAGGGGTAAGGATCGTGACAATGATGTAGTCGTCAGCACAAAGGGTGTACGGCTAGCGGCGGCTTCCTTGGCGGGGAAATCAGGGCGTGTGATCGTGAGTTTAGTCAACGATGTTTGACTCGTAGAGGAAACGGTTGGTCCAAGAAAGGGTCATGTGGTAACGGGTAGATAAGATTCAAGGCTTGTGGAGGGACAACAAAGAATCTGGGGTAAAGCCAACAAAAGTCAAGTTCTTGCTGATCAAGTTTCGATGCTTGGGAACGAACAAACTACGAACTGCTATGAAATCATGGCTCCGTGCCATGTTTTGCTGACATCTTATATGCATCCCGTAAAGCAAGGCACAGATCGAACGTATCTGTATCTACATGTTCACGTAAGGCTAAGACGCCCATTGAATACTAAATCTTGTCATTTTACACCGCGCATTGGTTGGTGGACCTATCAGCTTCAACGCCCTATTGCTCGTCGTGGTGGAACCCCGGGATCTACGGCGGAGGCGGGGGGAGGGTGACTACGCCCGTCACGGGAGGTCGGCGGAATTTGAGGGCAGGCGGAATAGGTTATAGATGGGTAAAGGCGGCCGAGGGAGGATGTATAAATAGGCAAGCATATCCGAGATGGACTATATTTTCTACAAGACCAAGTCTATCATATCTAAAGCATTCCGGCGTACATGACGGCGCCGGCGAGAGCGAGGAAGGCTCCGGCTGTGGGCATGACGGCACCGGCGGTGGAAACGGTAGAGGCCGGGGTAGCAGCGGCGTCGGTCTCGGAGCTGGAGCCAGAGTGCGAAGCGGAGTGAGAATCGGATCCGGAGGCGGAACCGGCCACGGCTCCGGCTCCGGAAGAAGCAGAGGGGGTTGCATGAGTGGCAAGAGTGGTGATGGTCTTTGTGTCATTGGCCTTATCGGTAGAAGTCTTCTCAGCATCCTTGCTCTTAGTCTCAGTCTCAGTCTCGGTCTCGGCCTCAGTGGTTATAGCACTCTCCTCAGTCTCGGTAGTAGGCGCCGCAGTAATAGTAGCAGACTCGATCACATCCTCCTCAGTGCTCGTGGGAGAATCACCAGTCTCTTCAGGAACAGCACCGCCGAGAGTCTTGGGGTTGATGAAGAGAGGAGAATAAGTCGCGGTGCCGACGTAGCCAGGGCATCCGGGAACAGTTGTCTTAGGGGGAGCTCGGCCACCGCCGCAGTCGAGAAAGTCGCACAGCTCGCCCGTGTCAGGGACGTACCAAATTCGAGACGCGTACATTCCATTGGCGTTGCTGAGAACCGTGTCGTAGCTGGTGCATCCTGCAAGATCGGTCCTGGCCAGGGCTGGGACAGCGGCGATAAGAGCCGCGGTGAGGAACTTGGCGGCCATGATTAATGAGTGTATAGAATTAAATTATCGGGTAGTTAAGTCTCAACGAGTGACTGCGATTAACGAATGAATACTCTATTCTCCCTCTCTTCTTTTCTTCTCTGTTCATAGGGGTAAGACAACCCTTTTAAAGCGCAGGCTCTGGCCCTACAAGGCTAGTGACTTATTCCCGGCGTTAATCACCAGCACGGTCCCATCGCCAAGCGAAACAGCGGCCGACTCGGCCCTGAGATGCCGGGAATTAGGGATCAACAACGAATTGTAGGCCTGGTTTTACTGGAATCGCGCTATAATGTCTGGTTTTAGAGTGGGTGGGCTCATTTCCATCCGTAATCCCATGTTCGGATGTTTCTGCTTTGGGTTGAGGGATTCTCGCTTCGACTATCTAGCAGGCCATGCTTAAATGCGATAAAATAGAAGCGAATGCCCCCTTGTTGGTCGCTTATACGCTCTCAGGAGTTTTTTTGGTTAGCTCGTAGTTTCTGACTTAAATGTGCTTCAGTTGAGATAACTTTAGAATAGACTGAAACTGAAACCACTAACATCGACCCGTTTGTCTAGTCTATGACACACATCGCTCTTCTATCATTCTATTCGGTACCAAGCTATCCGTCTGTCGTTGGGAACGGTTTTGCTCGTTGTCAAATATAGCATAGATAAGGTCGGTATAAGACACCGAGGTCTTTATTGGTCTATGGACTTCAAGTTGTTCTCGTCTGAAGATAGAACTTGCAGTGGCTCTGCCTTTTCATATCAATGTTCTATTAATGGCTTCCAACTTACGATAGCATGGGGTCGGTTGGTATCCATCAAACTCTCAAGTCTTTCAGTCCGAGACTGTGATGCCAGAATCTTCCAACTTGTCACACAACTTCTCAATTGCCAAGTCACGGTCTTGAACCACTCTCATTGCCTCATCAACCCTCCCAGCACGCTTGAGAACTTTGTAGTAGAAATCCAACGAGTTCACAGTCCAGTCAGACCATTTTCCAAAGACTTCCATACTCATCACCACAGATCTCAGTGCTGACTCAATAGCACCCTCTGCCCCCCTTTCCGCTTCATCAATCCTTGATAACAGCATATACAACGATGGCATCATCCTCTCGCTCTTGTACTCGGCATCTTTGATCTCTTCTGCCGTTCTACGTGCTTCAATATACTTGCCCGATTCCAGATATGCATCTGCCAGTTGCATCTTAAGGTTGATATGATCCTTACATCGATGTTGGTTCTGTAACTCAGCAGCCAACACAAGTCCACGACCCAAAATAGCGGCCTCCTCGGGACTCATGAGCTTGTAGCGTAGAAGTCGCTAGATAGTATCAGATATTATGTCTTGTATGATTGGATAGACCTTGCCAAGAGCTTCGTAGATCATGTTGATGTATGCAAGAATGGTCGACTTGGCATGAGTCACGATACCCGTTGGCCCAAGCTGCAGCATGACTTGGAGTAACAGTCGAAGCGGGTGTGAAGATCCAGCCAAGGGAAGACTCTCTGAGACATCGTTTAGAGAATTTAAAAGCCATCGAGCCACACCTGGTCGACTAGTAGCGAAGAAGAGTACTGAGGTGTATACGAAGGTGAATATCAATGGGTCTTGGCGCAGGAGCTGTTGGTGGGACTGCTTGATAAAGTGCTGTAGGAATCTAGTTGCTTCGCCCTCCTTTTTCTTCCCTTGAAGCGAGGGATGCTGACATGACGGAACTACACCAAGCTGGAACGTTGTCCTCGTTCTTGAAGCCGCTCTTAGCGTCCCTAGGCCACCTATTAACCTCTGATGACCCTCTAACGTAGGTGTTGAGGAGATGGAAGCGATATTCTTGGGTAAGGAGATCGGCTGGTGGTGTAAGTGACACTGGTGGGGCAGTACTGTTGATTGGTGTCTCGCCGATCAGTGGTTGCAGAAGAGTTTCTAGAAGTTCTCGACGCTTGTTCTCCGGTTGTCTACGATAGTATTCTTTGAGCTTGTCGAGATTCGTTAGGTTGACCTCAGGGTCGAGTATACATGCTGCACTGCGACCCCTTGTCATGTTTTTCTTGAGGTTCCACTCAGTGAATCGTAGCTTATACATCTTCTCACTATGTACTATCATTAGAGGCAATCATCTACTTACAGTGTCCATACTCACGTAGCTCGGAAGCCATACTCCAGACGCATATGTGACATGAGTCTTGATAACGACATGTTCCGTTTGATATATAACTCAGTTATCACCTCACGATAATGATCCCAATCCTTAGCTGACGGGACCCCCCAAGCGGCCACGGGTAGTACGAGGGGCTTCCATGATGACAACGTGTAAAGGCAGAAATGTGTTGAGAGTAGTAAACCGGTATGTTTGCCTTGTTTAATGTACAGAGAAGTCCCTGCATGGAAGTTTCACCCCTCTTTGTTCCAGGTGATGAGGCTGAAAATGAGTCGGTGCGGCACACGCGCGGGAGGCGCAGGACTTACAGCTGTACAAAAGGTCTCTGCATTCTCATTGACCAATAGCGTCTAATGCATGTGTGACTGAATTCCATGTCTGCATGAAGCTATTTACTGAAGGATTGGCTCGTAGTGCATGCCCCTGATTGGTGTAAAAGGCAATAAGGCTCGGGCAGACGGCTTCAGTCTACCACACCTTTACTAGTCTAAGCAACTACAGTTGCAGATGAAGAATCTTGGATACTTTCATTTAGGAAAATAGTCACAACAGTGGTATCAGGTACGGAATAAAGGGCAAGTTCAGGCTATTCTCCATTGGCTCTTACAGACTTGGACTAACTTCACGCCTCGAAAACTGGCCTGTGGCTTACACATAAGATTCCAAAACATCTACCCAAATTTCAAAGGGCAAGGTTGCTATCTTCTACTCAACTTATGCACGTCGAGCCCATGCTCTGAATGCATCCTTAGTCAAGTTCGTACCGACAGGATTGCACATAACCGAGCCATCATCAAACACCACAAAGTACGACCGATCATTCTCAAGGTTCAAACCCAGGGTCCGGAACCTAGGCATGGTACTGATGGACTGTTCCAGACTCCCGTAGTTACCACGGAGGTTCCATTGGCTATGTCCAGATTCCTTCTGGGCCACGTATGAGCCTTCGGTTCCTAGCCAGACATACTTGACGCCATTGTTATCTGGGTCTGCATTTTCGACAAACTCATCGGCTGCATCTGGGAGATTCCAGAAGATGCGGCCGCTTCTGGTGCGCATAAAGTAGTAACCATCACTCCCGAGGGACACAAACTCGGGGGTGTCGCCATCGAGAGAGTCGAGTGCTCTGTCGAGGCCACCGTAGCTGGAAAGAGACCAGGCTGTGAGCTGTAAGTTAGCTGATGGGAAGTTTAGCAACAGATATTTCTTACACCATGTGAATCGTTCGGTTCTCTCGTTGTAGTATTTGGTGAAGTAGCAGTCGTCTTCACCAATTGCCACAAAAGCATGATGGACTCCTGGAGGGTGTTGGAACGCTTTGGCGAACTCCCTGTCCGAAGCACCACTTGGCCGGGCCAGCATCAGAAAAACGAGTCTTTTGCTCAGTAGGGAGTTTCTTACCTTAGGTTGCGTCCATAGGGACCGCAAAGAAAGTAGTTATCACCAACCAAACTGACGTTGGACTCGGGCATATTTGATTCTGAGGGTCACTGTGAAATAAGATTTGGAAGTTATAAATTACAAAAGATGGGGATTATTCGCTCGAGTGAGACATTTGGCCGAGTATTTATAATTGATCGACCATGTCCGATGTGATGTCTCCCTACCAGGTTTCTGAGGCGTTACTGCCTCCTGGCGAAGCATTCTGCAGCCAGGCCATACGATGATCACAATAATGCACTTGACACCTTCATGAGAACCTAGCTCGGTACATATTTGTCCGCCAGATGCATCTTGGTAATGGTGGTGCTGAGGAGAGGGCTGAGTGGCCTCCCTGGGCGATTTGGATGCATGAGGTGATATCACCAGCACAGGCTCATTCTCTATCCATGCATGTCTTGATAGTTCTATTCCATTTTGGGATGGCTTTGACAGGCTACACAGATGTTCGGGCCTGAGCAAGAGCCTCAAGTTGGTCCTCGGTCCTTTGCCTGTCCTTGAGCCTCCTCCGGATACAGGCTATGCTAAAGACAGACGCGAAGGGAGATCAGGAGTGAGTTGAAAATGGGTAATAACCATTTTGGGATTGAAGTATACATATAATCAAGAATTATCAAGGTCATAGTGTTATCTGGTGTTCGCCTCAACTCTTGTGTGATCTTCGCATGGACTCGCCTCGGCCGGTCTGTGTATAAGTAGAAGTAGACGAACTAGCAACATATGATTGAATCGATCACTACACAACATGGATTTAATTACATGGAACAAACGGATATGCCATTGATATATTAACTATCCTTGTTCAAACCTCGGGTACGGAATCAATTGTAGTGTATCTTGGTTGAAACATGTGCATGCAATGTATAGCAACCTAAAGTCAACGGAGCCAATCAGCACGTCTCATGATAGGCATCAACAACCGTTCAATATTTTATCGCAATAATATATCTTCGAACAAGGTTGAGCCACAGGCAGAATTTATCTTCGTTGCCTACTCCACGATCCAATCATATCTCCCGGCGAGTGACGCAACCTCACATTGGAGAAGCAACCTACAGATAATCCTTGCAGCCATATTCACTCCCCTCCAACATTTAAGCTTATCCACAACCACCATATCATGAGACTTCTCAGACCAACACCACGTCTCTCTTCTATATTCTCTTCAAAAACAGCAACCTCCAATCTTCGCTTCTTCACCGCAATGGCTCCTCATAACGACGTAGGCGCCTTTCACGAAGCCCTCCGCTCAAGCAAGCGCATCCTCGCGCTCTGCGGAGCTGGTCTCTCAGCATCATCTGGCCTACCTACTTTCCGAGGCGCTGGCGGTCTTTGGCGAAATCATGATGCTACGTCTTTAGCTACTATGAGTGCTTTCAAGAATGATCCGGGTCTTGTGTGGTTGTTCTACAATTATAGACGTCATATGTGCTTGCGCGCGGAGCCGAATCCAGCGCATTATGCTCTTGCGGCGCTGGCTGACAAGAACAAGGACTTTTTGTGTCTGACACAAAATGTCGACAGTATGGATTTCCCTTCTGTGTTGTATCATAGTAACTAACAACCTCAGATCTCTCTCAACAGGCGGGTCATCCACAGGATCAACTGCGTACCTTGCATGGTTCCCTCTTCGACATCAAGTGCACCAACTGCGATTGGATCCAGCGAGGCAACTATGATGATCCATTCTGTCCTGCCCTCGCACCAGCTTCAGTTGATGTAGAGCCAGGCAAACCATTTCCCCTCCTTGACGCCTCGCAGCCTCTGGACCCAATCTCACCAGATGACATTCCGAAATGCCCTCAGTGCAAGACAGGCTTTCAAAGACCGGGTGTTGTGTGGTTTGGTGAGAATCTGGATGAAGTCATGATGATGGGTATCACAAACTGGCTTCTCGAGGACAAAGTAGTGAGTTGAAACCCACGTTGAGCAGTTTTTTAGAAAGTTGACTAATTATATACAGGATTTGATGCTTGTTATTGGTACTTCGGCCCAAGTCTACCCTGCTGCAGGCTATATCGATAAAGCCAAACGTAAAGGCGCACGTATTGCGGTAATTAACCCTGAGGCTGAGAATGAGGAAGAGATGTACAAGGTCAAGCCTGGTGATTTTGCATTTGGCAAGGATGCTGCAGAGTATCTGCCTCTGCTCTTGGAGCCTGTTATTGGCAAGCTTGAGACGGACAAGAAGGAAAAATCTTAGCTACGAACCTAGTCTATATACAATACAAGAGAAGGAAAGGCTAGGAAGCTTAATTATCTTGACCAGCTCCATTGTAAAACTGAACTGGCGAGCAGGTGACCCCGTATGGTTAATAGGACCATGCTACAATATGAAGAGTTTGTTATGATTGCATTCTAATAGTAGGCCGAACCTGACGTTCTTCGGCTGTCAAATCCGCAACCGTATTCTTGTGGCATTCTACAGGATACTGTATGTATTTGAAGATTGTATCATTGATTTCTATAAAGATTCACACTTATATTACACTTTAGGCAACACTTGAGCCATGCTCAAGTCTTCAAAAATTCTTCTCTATTTGAGCACAGCCTTTCCGCATCCTCTCTATTAGACTCTCTTTCTTTTCATTTCCATCCAAGTCAGACTTTTGACACAGACAAGTGATACGTGACGGCAGTCGACTTACACCTAGACACAACCCCCACTGAAAGGTGACGTACCTACCACTATAACATCACCCCTCCATCCACCATCCATCTCTCTCAACACCAAATCTTCCCCCCTCCACCTACCAAAGGCCACGAGCCTCAAAACCACCACAAAGATGCAGGGCTTCAACATGGGCCGCTACGTCCCGCCCGAAGTAGAAGGCACCACATCCGGCAACCGTCTTCACAACAAACACCCGCTCGGCGCACGCGCCTCAAAGCCTGGCTCCCTCACCGTCCGCTTCGAGCTTCCCTTCGCCGTCTGGTGCAACAGCTGTCCCAAGCCCACGATAATCGGCCAAGGCGTTCGCTTCAACGCCGCGAAGCGCCGCGTGGGGAGTTATTTCTCAACGCCGATTTGGAGTTTCAAGTTTCGTCATGCGGATTGCGGAGGCGAGATTGAGATTCGCACGGATCCGAAGAATACGGCGTATGTTGTCACGGAGGGCGGTGCGAAGAGGGATACGGGGGAAGATGTGCAGCGCGAAGGGGATGCTGTTATCATGACGGATCAGGAGAGGGAGGCGTTGAGAAAGAATGCATTTTCGAGTTTGGAAAAGACTATTGAGGATAGGGAGCAGCTCAAACGCGCGACGCTACGGATAGACGATCTTCTTGAGGCATCTGCGAAACATTGGGATGATCCGTATACGCAGAATCAGAAGCTACGGAAGGCATTCAGGGCAGGGCGCAAAGAGCGGGAGCGCGATGCTGCGGCTACAGGGGATCTTCAAGATCGCATGAGTCTTGGCATAGATATTGTTCCTGGGACAGAGGAAGATGCTCGCCGTGCGGCTCTTGTCGACTTTGGACCTGTGGTTGATGATGGCAGAGATCGAGCATTGTCGAAGCCCTTATTTCAAACCAAAGGGAGCAAGAAGAAACCATTGGACCCGAAAGGCGGAGGCAAGCTGAAGGCTGACAAGGAGGCTTCGAAACGTAAAGATGCGTTGGTGTCGGAACTTATGGGCAACACTAGGGCCTCCAAGGATCCTTTCCTGATCGGCAAACGACATGAGACGAAAGGACCGGCCAGACTGCCAGGTGTGAAGCGGAAGAGATCACCACAAGAAGTAGAGTCACGGAATTTGGAGCCACCATCCAAGGCGCAGGCGCCTGCTTCGCCAGCAGGCCTGGTTGACTACGACTCCGATTAAGCATTTTACTATAGGCACTGGTTCTTTAGAATAATAATAGATATGATACCCGGGCTCAGCCCAATTTATTGATTTAATATTCAAAGTCTTGTCCCTCTGCTGTGCATCGTTGGCAGAGAACGAAAGGCCAACCTATCCAAACTGCCTTCGAGGTCCTGACGGCCAGGTCTGTCACCAGCAATCATGACATCCAGTTGCGGCTATTTCGTTCGACCGCCCTCCGATGAGCACAAGCGAAGCTTTGTATGCAACATGCCAAACTAATGCCAAGAAACAAATTCGATCCGAGTCCAAGCCTGCGCGAGGTTACTGCAACTCCGTCCAATGATAGCCCTAAATCCGTGCCTCGGTCCCATGACGCCATATGTGAATCGAAACGCTCGCCCAATTTAATGCGCTTGTAGAAGGGCTTATACATCATCCATCTGTCCCGCAGGCTCGTCATCGTCGTCCCCGAAACTGGCAACTGAGGAGAGTTCGTCATCGTCTTCGCTTTCGGCTCCGGCTTCGTCTGCTGCATCTTTGGAAGCATATTTCTGGACATATTCTGCTTTCATGAGTATCATGTCTGTTTCAAGGGTCCATGCACACACACCTTTGACCTTGGCATCATAGCTCTTTGGTTCTCTGATCAACAAGGCCGCCGCCTCACCGTTGAGGGGGTCGGTAGGGTTGGGGTATCGCAGGAGTTGAGGAAGGAAAACCTCGAAAATGTTGATCATATCAAACATGGGCGACCAAGTCTGGTTAATAACATCGAGACAGACCGAACCGGACCTGAACCATTAGCCATAGTTCAAATCAGACGGAGGTATAGGTTTCGTACAGCTCGTCGATATTGGGGTGGAAGATGCGGTTGACAAAGCCAATGCTGGGGGACTTGTAAGGGTAGGTGTCGGGAAGCTCGACATGAACCTTCCACATTCCGCCCTCAAATGGAGCTTCGTAATGTCAGTTCTTATTCGGACGATGCGCTTCGGTAAACATACTCTCAGCTGGTCCTTTGAAGCGAACAAAGAACTCTTGCCTAAGAGGATCGGTCAGGAAATAGGTCGGAGTCGGTGAAAGTGGAATTGGAAGCTTACACTATTTCATGTTAGCAAAGTCGACGTTGGTATTAAAGTCAAGTCTTACTGTTGTCATTGACAAGTGTAACTTCGTAGTCACTCATAAGCCTATTGGTGTCAGTGTCATCATAGAAACGGTAGCTTATATTGAGTCCCATACATCCTGTAATCATGTTAGCAATACAACAAGCGACAGGGCAGAGACGACAACGCACTTCATGACCTTGTTGACGATTAGTGTTAGTCACAGTTCCGTCACAGTCTCGGAAGACGGTAGAACTCACATCAGTCTCGATTCTGCGGCGTGGGCTACTCATGATGGCAGTTGATGTTGTTTCCGAATGTGGGGTTATGAAGGTATCCAAAGAGCTCCGGGGCCGGCGCGATAGGCGATACTCGAGAGGAAGACGTTAAGAAGAGGCAGAAGAACTGAAGTTTGTGTGTGAAATAGTCTGCAGTTGAAAGATGTTGGTTGGGAATAGCTAAAATATTGCTAGAGGCAGGGGAAGATGAAGTTGAGTCAAGCAAGCGCAAGATGGATAATGGGTGTATCCTTCCCGGGGGTGCCAAGTCACGAGGATATGATGTGTACGAGCGTGATAAGCCGCTGCAAACGCAACACGGCAGGTGCCGGCTGCTCCTTCAGGGTGTTAGTGCTATCGATAAGGCACTAATCTGCCGCAATGGGGAGATCGACATAGCACGTCACGAGCATAACACAGCATGAAACAACGATCTAGACTGAAACGATGCAACTCAGTTGAGTCATCCTTTTCCTTTGCATCAAGTTTTAGAGGCCTCAATTTCCAATAAAGGTGACACATTCTGAGTTAAGCTTTGAGCTTGTTTCTTTGGTGCAATTATCAGATGCCGAGCCTCTGCTTAACAATCAGTTTCTTCAATCTTTTATACATACCCTTGAATACATTGAGTATCGTTGATTAAAACTAGCTCTCAATCAATTTGAGGATATTCAACAGGAAGCAAACAGTGATGGTAGGTTAACGCATATGGATACCTACATTTCGATGCATATTCGCGTAGCAACACAGACCAAATAGAGTTGTAGGACCGGCTGGAACCATTATCGCGGCGGTAACCTAGGAATAATCATAAAGCGGCTTTATACATAGTCGTTGCGGTTGGGAAAACATTATGTGACAAGACATACAGATACTTGCCGGGTTACTACTTATTATGGATATTATGTCCCTCGGTTCTCGCATGCGTATTCGGATCTAGGTACTTTCATCACAACTTCATGAGGCCCCCTCCATTTCCAAATCCTCGGTACAAGTACCCAGCCAGCCTCAATCAAAGCCGTTACACTTCCCCCACTACACCTCCATCTCGGCATAGCCAGTAACAACCTCGGCTTCCGAATACATTCAAAGACTTTTTGTAACTTTCCGTGACCTCAGTATTTCACAGTATAAACTGCATTCCAGCATGATTCGGGGTATAATTCAGTAGCCCAGAATGTACATGTAAATGAAATGGCGGCTCAACATTAAAGAATCTTCGGTCGTTCGGCCATTCGCATGCCCTGAAAGGACTAGTCTAAATTAAATTTCACTTCCAGAACCCCAAAAAGTTACTCCGTGGGGCGCAGACCAGGGGTGCTGAGAAAAAACACCAAGATACTCAAATATACAACGTAGGGTTCATCATGGTTCAGACATGAATAAAACCTTTGCTTTCCCCGACTTTCTGACTAGATCGCAACTCTAACTGTCATAAACGAAACAGCATTAGCTAAGATACTTCTTTCATAATTTTTCCCCTTTCAAAAAGGATCACTATAGACTTCTTGAGCCACTGTCTCTGTCGGTCTGAGATCTGCCTGCAAGTACCTCAAGTTTCTGTCACTCCCAACTTGACCTGACAAAGCACGCGACACCTTATCTTCGCCTCAACCCACTCTACTAACACTTCCCTTCACTCCTATCTTCTCCCCTGCCTCATGTCATCTCTTATCAATCCTACCATGAGGTCATGTGCCTCTCTCCTATCCCGGGTGTCCGTCCCGTCCACTCGGCCGGCATCCCGGACCCTCGGCCGAGCCATTCGGCCCCTCATCATCGGAGGTGCGGCGCAAACCCGGTACAGCTCTCACTCTCCCATGGGTGCACCTCCGGCCGTTCAACGTAAGAAGGTCACTGTCGGAACTCTTCGTTCCATGCACCGCAAGGGTGATCCCATCACCGTCATGACAGCTCATGACTTCCCCAGTGGTCATGTCGCTGACCATGCTGGTATGGACATCATCCTTGTGGGAGACAGTCTCGCCATGGTAGCACTTGGTATGGAGGATACGAGTGAGATTATCTTGGAAGAGATGCTTTTACATTGTCGGTCTGTTGCGAGAGCGACAAAGTCGGCTTTCACTGTAAGACCCCTGTCTTTCTATATGCAAGTAATAAACTAATCCCAGTAGGTTGGAGATCTACCCATGGGCACATATGAGATTAGTCCTGACCAGGCTCTTGCTACTGCTATCCGTTTCATCAAGGAAGGCCGTGTCCAGGGTGTCAAGCTTGAAGGTGGTAAGGAGATGGCCCCTACTATCAAGAAGATTACCACCGCTGGCATTCCTGTTCTTGGCCACATTGGCTTGACCCCTCAGCGACAAAACGCACTTGGTGGCTTCCGTGTCCAGGGCAAGACAAGTAGTGGTGCAATGAGCATTCTTGAAGATGCCCTTGCTCTTCAAGAAGCTGGTTGTTTTGCCATGGTTGTTGAGGCAGTTCCTGCTGAGGTGGCCGCGCTCATTACTGAAAAGCTCTCCATTCCCACCATCGGTATTGGCGCTGGCAACGGTACCTCGGGCCAAGTCCTGGTACAAGTAGATATGATTGGAAACTTCCCTCCCGGTCGATTTCTGCCCAAATTTGTAAAGAAGTATGGCGATGTCTGGGGCGAGAGCTTGAGAGCCATCGAGGCGTATCGGGATGAAGTCAAGTCGCGCCAATATCCTGCTCCTGAGCACACATATCCCATTTCGGCGGAGGAACTTGAGAACTTTACTAAGGCGGTGAAGGATTCCTAGAGATGAGATGATGATACCCCAGAAGTAGTTCCATGATGTTTTGGAGAGGCAAGCATGTCGAATTCGTGTGTCGCAGCGCAGTCATAGAGGTCGCATAGCTCGGAGTTTGGGTTGAGTAGATGTCATAGCCTTTCGTATATCCAGATAGAAGAATTCAGCCTTTTTAGCATCATCCGAAAGCAGGAGTGAGAGAGTAGGCAACCACAAGTTGACCGTGGGCATTTTTAAAGCACTGGATATGTCAGTTTCCGTGACCTGACAGCTTGGTAATCCATCATAGGCCTTGTGATAGGCTAAGACTCACCTGATGTAGGTTACCCACAACCTCGTCCAAAGACGGCGCAAAGGCACTGTTGACGTACAAGAAGACACTGTCTGTCTCTTTGCACCTCAGCTTCTTCCTGAGATATCTCACAACCTCTTCAAAGCGCCTTGTCGCGCTAATCTTGCACACATCTTGCGCCAACGACGGAGCAGACCCCACGGGCTTAAATCGCACTACAACCTTGTCTGCCTTGAAGGCTCCAGCAGTTGCAAGTGCGGCGCTCGCATCCCGTGGTAGATCAGCCAGCACCACTGAGGCGGACATAGTGAGTGGTAAGTTTGGAGATGCAGCGCCGCTGCCCGGTCCTTCACTATCGGCGAGAGGCATGGGTGAGGCGTTGGAGGGTGATGGAGATGATGAGGGCATCCATTCTGGTGGCGGGTTGTCTGACATTTTGAAGAATTTGTACTTTTGAGAGTGGAGACTTCTCGGCTTTGTGAGTGAATGTTGAAATGTGTTGGTGTTGAAAGCCAAGGTACATAGCCGTCTCTGTAAGTAACTCAGTTGTGAAACTGTCGCCTAACGTAAGGTTGCTTATGACAGCACAGTGTTACTTTTAAGCACTGTGCATGACACTGGCATGTAAGCCTCATCATGACTCCTCAATCAAATACTGCGGTGCCTCATCACCCTGACAATCCCATTCTCTCTCTATCCCTCTCTCTTTTTCTTTCTTTTTTTTCTTGTTCTTACAAACAAGATATAAACTCTGTTCGGTTTTGATTTTATCGTATATACCACACCACGTTAACAATGATGAGCTGAGATTGTATTGTCTAAACTAGGTACATTCGAAGCCTTTATTTTACATCTTTTCAGTCAGTCATTCCTGAGCAGAGTTTTTTTTTATTCCAAATGGCCCTCTTAAATTCAGTTTGCTTTCTGTCGGTCCCCCATTCGGTTTGCCTCAGATCCTGACAGAGCTTCTCGTACTCTTCAACTGTCCGGGGTGCTGAACGTTCAGTCTCGATGCTCCCCATGATAACGTCCATCATATTGCCTCTGACGCTCTCATACACCATGCTCACCCAACTACCAATAGTCTTCTTGCCCTCAGTTGGAAGGCCTTTGTGTACGTTGTATAGGGGATCATCATCAAGACCACATTGTGTCGGGACTTCCAACTTGGATCGAACCCAAGTATACAACGGAGCGGTTCCATCACCTAGTTTGGTAGCCACGTCGACAGAGCGTATTGCCATGTTAGGATAGAAGATGGAAGAAGCAGTATCCACGACTGCTTTGTGGAACTGGCCACGGAATACTGCAAGACTGGATATCGGACAATCGATCTTCTCGGCAGTCAGGAATTGCGTAACGGGTGCCATTACAGCATCGACGGTGGGTATAATACGATCCTTCCAGCAACCGATATTGTGGTCAAACCACTCCCGCTCGACGACAGCGAAAACAACCTTACCGATTCTCTCGATAGCGGCGTCTTCCAGGCCAAATGCATGGAATGGTCCGTTGCCAGTCTTGTTCAATAGCACTTTTTCACGAAGCGTGTCCAGGAAAAGCCGATGTGTCGCCCGAAGCTCGACTGCTTGGCATGAAACGTAAATGTGACAAGCACACATATGCGCGACAAGATCGGCAGCCTCCAAGGTTCGTCGAGCTGAAAGCAGAGCAAGTGAATTGATGCCCTGGTTATGCATCTCAGCTGACATAACGTGAGACGAGACCGGGTGAGCCAGGGCAGCTAACTCGGACATGTATGCAGACATGTTTACGTCAATGCCCTTCATGGTGAAATTCTCCTTGTCGCTAATGTTGAGATTGGCTTCAAGGCCATTGTTAGTCGAGGGGTTGATCATCTCGCTGACCTGAGAGAAGACCATGCGTCCAATCATCTGGAGAGCAAGTCGTGTCTTGTCCATGGCAGAAGTTACAGCAACAGCCTGGAAGTTCCCTCCTGAATACACATCGCCAACCACTTTTCCATCTTTCTCCGATGCGTCGATTAAGGGGTTATCCGAAGTCGAATTGAGTTCCACCGAAATTTGTTTCTGGGCAAGCAGGAGGTCCTCTAGATAAGGACCAATCCATTGGGGACTCGTGCGAGTAGAATATCGATCTTGCCAAAGGCCATCGCCAGTTCTCTTGCGGTCCTCCAATCCAACGACGAACTCTGACCCTTGTAGAAAGCTTCTTATGTTGGCAGCTGCCTCAATCTGGCCAGGGTGTGGTCGTACAGCATGGATAAAAGGAATTGTCCACTCAACGTTGCCACCCATGGCCTCGGATGCAAATGCTGTCAATACCTGAGCAAGCACAGCCAGCTGTTGCGCATCATAGAGGACCAGACTGGCAACAGATACAGATGGAGCAGTTCCATTGATAAGACCGAGAGCTTCTTTTGGCCCAAGACCGCTTGGTGAGAGGCCGCTAGCCCGTAGAGCTTCATCTGAAGGCATCACCTTGGCTGACGACCCTTTACCAACTTGAACGAAAATATCCGGGTTTCCAGTGACCGCTCCAGCGATGTAAGATAAAGGCATGAGATCACCAGACGCCGAAATAGTACCTCGAATAGGAACCATAGGGGTAATATCGTGGTGAAGCAGTTTGATCAATCTCTCCAATACTTCCAGTCGAACAGCGCTTTGTCCACGCATATTCTGGTTCGCCCGAGTAAGTATAGCTCCTCGAACCCATTCAGGGGGCATGATGTGAGACGGCTCTCTTTCAGAGTTGCCGCCAGGGTTTTTGTCGGTGGACATGATAATGGCACTCTGTGTATGTTGAAGAGAGCCAATTTGGTTCTCCAACCATTCGTCAGTTCGAACATCTGCACTTCCTCCAAAACCTGTATTGACACCATATACTACGTATTTGTGTGACAAGTACTCAGCTAGTGCGTCAACACTCAGAGCGATGCGGCGAGCGAGCTCCTCGTCTTTGCTGATCTCAGGCTTGATACCATGACGAGCGGCTGCGACTAGAGAAGCAATGTCGAGATTGTTACCATCGAGAATGATCTTCTCTTTGCCGTTCTTCAAGTCTCGTAGTTGTTTCCAAATATCCAGTGTTGACTCGGCATGAGCCGAGATTTTGAGGTTCATCGTGAGATATGCTGGAGTTGGTGCAAACAAAGCTTGAGGAGTGTTGGCAGAGAGTAAGAGTGAAGATTCAATGGTCGCACGAAGCTTTTCTGGTAAGATATTTCACCTCTCAGTCAAGTTTTCTCCCAGCTCTGATGTTGTCAGTGAGAGTGATTCACCTCAAGTAAGCGGCGACGTCCAGCACCTGTAAAAGTCAGAAGACTAGTTAAGTGCAATGACCTTGTACTCCTCACCACCAATTTCAATTTCTAATATCTTTTCTCACTTGAGATGCACCGATTGCGGCCTTAGAGTTAAAGATTTCAAGTAAATGAGCCAAGTATCACACAGTTCAGACTTGTCCAAGCTTGGCAGGTCCAATTTGAACATGTGATAGAGGTCCTCGCGGGCTTACAATAGAAAAGGTTTGCGCTCGCAACAGTGAGAATTGAAAAAGAAGAGGAAACTTAATGTGGTCTCAGCCGAAAATCGGTGAGAGACAAAAGAAACACATACGTAAAGTTTCATAGTGTGCATCTGCCAATCAACTACTGCAGGCTGAAAACGCCACATAGTTAAGGGGTTCACTTGAGATGGAACTCATGCAAGACACTTGTCTATGACAGAAATAACCAATGATTCACTCACATTTATGCTTAAGCAGCTCACCTTCACTGTGCATCATGCCACAAGGGCCGTACTTTGTTCAAGTATTCATGTTACATAACATGTAGGTACATATACATGTCCTAAAAACATATCTACATCAGACCTTTCTGGTCATCGTCGTAAAGCAGTCGCTGTTGCTTTTTGCGATATAATTCTTCCGCTCCGATGCCCTGCCCTGGTTCACCTTTGTACAACCCTTCATCAAACCCATCTCAGCCATTTGCCCTGACCATGCCTCTCGAAATGGACCGCGACGAAACGCCCCAAAAATCAGTTACCATGTATGCAGTCCAATCAGAACAAATGAGATGGCCGACTAGACCGTGAGATAATGTGCCAAAAACCATGCCGCTCTGCGCCGTCGCATGCAGTTCATGCTTATAAGGTAAAAGGAGAAAGCGATAGTAAAGAAGACGGGGACATCTTAAACCGAAAGACTGTCTGGTAATGCCGCCATTAAGCGCAAGGCTAACCAAACTCATGAGGTATCTTTGATGTTTGTACACTGCGTGCTGTGGGAATTTGAACCGAAATGCGCAAAATGAACTTCGTGAAGAGTTTGTTTCGTGGGATGCCAGTAACATAGTCCATGAGCTGCGGACCATGACAAGGCCTGAGATGATGGTGATGCGATGTTGAAAAGATTTATGTCGTATTATTTTATGAATGGTCGCTACCAGACTTCCTCCTCGTCAGAACCGGATGCGTACTTAGGCATCCTCTTGATTTGTGACAGGAGAGAATCAAGCTCAGTCCAGTTTTCGTCGTTTTCAGCAAACTTCCGGTGTTTGCGAGATAGAATGTGCTACAAAAGTTAGTTTTTACAGGCATACTCTGGAAAAAGACATCACATACCTCGTCAAAATCGCGGAACTTGTCCTGACAGTTCTCGCAATAACCAGGCTTGAGGTCCCGCTTACTCTTAAGAGGTTGCGACTGTGTCCTCCGCTCAGTCTTTTGAGCATCCTCTTCTTGCACCTCAGCAGGTCGCGAAGTGTGTCGGCCCATCGTTGTTGATCTGCTAGATGCAACGTCCATTGAAACCTCAGCAAGACGGCGCGAGCTCACGTCAAAGGAAGCAGGGGCAGCCTTCTGCAACACCTTGCGCTGCAGGCCATGAACCTCTTTACTGGTTCCAGCCTTCGCTCCATTGATACCAGATGTCGAAGAGACCATCTGCGATCGAATGGCTGAGGTAATGTTAGAAGGCTGCACTCCAGATGCCACAGGCTCGCCAGCAAAAAGCCGGCCAGCGGCAGCACGGCTTGTGAAGGCGTTCTGAGGTCGGGCATCCACTGCTTTCGACATGGCCGCCCTGGCGGGGTTGAAGATATCAGTAGGCGTCGCAGCACGGGCTCTGCTCTGACCATCCTCCATCTCAGCAATGGTTCGCTTTCCTGTCACCGGCTTGGGCATTGGGACCTGAGGAGGCTTGAGAACAGGGGCAGCTTCCTCACGCTTGGCAAGGCGTGCCTTTTCCTGCTCTCGTTGTCTTCGATGATCCTTTTCAGGCACATCGTGGTCCTCCACAAACGGGCATCGACCGTTTCCAACACTTCGGAACTGAGGCCACTCACCATCTGCCTTATTAGCAACCTTGGGGTACTCTCGAACCATGATGGGCTTGTTCTTCTCGTCCATATCCCATACATAAATGTGAGGTCCCTTGAAATAGCATAATTCACGATGAACAGCAGAAGGATCACGATCAGATGGTCCGTTTAGGCGTTCATTGTGCAACAGCTGGAGCAGGTTAGGCTCCCTCGAAGCACCATAATTACCGCGAGTGGCTGTTGATCTTGAACCGTACGTGCTGTGGCTTGTCTCTGCCTCAAGCAAGACTGCAAGCATGTTTTGGAACTTGTCCAGTGTCCAGATCTTCTTGCCCATCTCACGAGCTTTGTACAGCACATCATTGTTCTTTGATCCTCGGGTTCGCTTTAAAGGGTCATCAAGCTGCTGCGACCTTGAAGGTGCATTGCGGAACTCGGACAGTAGCTTTCTTCGAGCTTCGGTATTACGGTTCAATAAAGATGGATTAATGGTCTGAGGCTGTTCTTCGGACTCGTTGTGCTCGCCATGGTGTCCTTGGTTCTGGTCTTGATGCGCCTCTTGTCTTTCAGGTGGAATTGTTCGAGTGGTGACGACATGGGTAACGTCAATGGAGAAGAAGGGTTCTTGTCTCTGAAGCAAGGTCAGTGGGGCCCATCAAAGCTTTCGAGATTAACATACAGCACCAAGATAGTTGACCCTCTTTGTTAGTCTAGCACGAACATCATCGGGTATACTCTCGAAATAGAAGACCATTTTAGGAAACTTGGCACGATGATGCTTCTTCCATGCTTCCTTCTCAGTGTCGGCCTCACGGGAAACATTTGTCGGAGCAGCCCTTGAGGTTCTTTCCTTAGTAGAAGGACGCGTAGCGCCACGTTGAACCAGAACCTGAGTCTTGGTGGACCGGGTTGGTGATCGAACCGGACGCTGCACGCCATTATCGAGTACCTGCTTCTTTAGAGGCGGCGGCTGGCCATAGGTTTCTTCACGCTGAACGGTAGCATATGAACGCTTCTGCTTTGCATATCCAGCCAGAGCGGAAGCACCTCTCAGAGGCGAATTGGCAACGTTGGGGTTGTTCGTTAACGGGCCCCGTCTCGAAGACATGGCCGATATGGGACCAGGCGTTGGTGATAAAGATATCGTTGCCATATAAAGCCCGTGAACTGCTCTGGGGAGGAGAGACCAGAGCAGAGGGCGTTTAAGCAAAACGACAAAAGTCGAGAAGGAACGTCAAGGATGACGTGACGAGATTTGAGCTGTTATTGGTGGTGGTCGATCGTGGTGGCAGATGGACGGGTAGTGGTAGTAACGAGGACGGTAGTGGAGGGGCTGGGAGGATGAGACTTGTGACAGCACGCGACGCGGAGCCTGACACGTCAAAGCGACTAGACAGAGACAATGAGGCAACAAAGAGAGGTAATAGATGCTATTGACACATCAAAGCTCGCGGAGATGGCAAAGATGTAGAAGGAAAAGAAGTCAACAACAAACGCAGTCAAATGATGAGCGAGCAACAAATCGGCCGTTATGTTGTTTTGGTAGGTACTGAACCTTTTCCTAGGCCTGGTGCTTTGAATGGAGGGAAACGAGCCAAGTGAGGGACAGACTCCATCGAATTTGATGACTGAGCAAAGCAAAGCAAAGCAGGCCGTGGTGTTAGAGTCGCGCTTGGCACAACAGCACTATACCGCTCCTGGGCCAGTTCAGCGACTAGCAGGGCCTTCTGGGAGGGGCCGCCGGGGGCCCTGTACCCCCAGTGAAGGCCTTCTGTGGCCTGCTGAACGTCCACTGCGAGAAAAACACCTCTTCGCACGGGCCAGTCGCCCAAAAGCCACCCAGCAACCAGAGGCACTACAGCCAGAAACGGGAAATTGGGAGAGACGAGACCAGACAACAAAATTTCAGCCTCGTACCGGAGACGGGGAATTCACGCGAGACATGAGAGGAAACAATAACAAAGAGTCAAGACATGAACGCTTAATTGTGTTTTTTGTTTTAATTAATCGACTTTGTAACGCACAAGAGGAATGAAAAGGTAATTGCATAATTAGCTCACATAGTCTATGCATAGAAAAGACATCACTCTAACTGACCCTGGTGCGTCTCCCGCATTGAAACATCCACCTATCCAATCTCGTCTTGAGCCTCACACTTTTCCGCTGTCTCGCAACTAGCCTCGGTCCATCCTTGTCATAATTTTGGTCTGGCGTCATCACCGAGATCTTTGAGGTCTCTGACGCAAATTGGCCGTGTACGAGGGGTTCAATTGATGTAAGAGCTCCAAGTTCCACTAACGAAGTTCAACCGACTAAACTCATTCTCAGATCATCTTTGATCCTCAAGATGAAGCTCCCTCGAGCTCCATTACGGAGCTTTGAGCATCGTCTGCCCCCCCAAGCTCGGTCGGTGAGAAGCATATCAACAATATCTAGTCCTACAAGGACGACAGCCTGCCGAGCTCTACCATCAAATACACCGGACAGCCGTCGGGCGTACGCCGTTGTCTCCGCCGCCGACCTCCGATTCGGACAGCCAGTCTACGAAACACATCCTCATATCCTACAACCAAACGAAATCACACAAGGGATCACAGCGCAAGAATATGCTGATCGCCGAGCTCTCCTCGCACAGTCGATGACAGAGGGCAGTATTGCCGTTCTGCATGCTGCATCTCTCCAGTACAAGTCTGGTGCTGTCTTTCACCAATATCGACAAGAGTCCAACTTTCTATACCTTACAGGATGGATGGAAGAAAATGCCATTGCGGTGATTGAAAAGACTGGTCCTGAGTATGGTGACTACATATTCCGTATGTTTGTCAAGCCCAAAAATGCTCGTGAGGAGCAATGGAATGGTTATCGCAATGGTGTGGATGCTGCAAGAGATATCTTCAACGCCGATGAAGCATATACGATAAACGAGGCAGAGCAATTGCTTCCCAAGATTCTCAAATCAGCCAAACTCATATATGCAGACTCACCACCCTCAAAGGGTAGTGTTGCTTCGACAGCTAATTGGCTTTGGGGGCTCATCTCAGGGCGAGAATCTCGACCCTCCCGAACTCCGCTCTACTCAGTCATGAACAAACTTCGGGTGGTCAAGAGTGAAGCAGAGGTCGCTAATATGCGTATTGCTGGTCAAATTTCGGGTCGTGTCATCACAGATGCAATGCGCCGACCATGGAAACGTGAGAAGGACTTGCATTGGTTCCTTGACTACCAATTCGCCGTCAATGGCTGCGAAGGCCCGGCATATATCCCCGTGGTGGCTGGCGGTGAGCGCGCAAACTGCATTCACTACACGGTGAATAACAGCACGTTCAAAGAGGACGAATTTATTCTCATTGACGCAGGCGGCGAGTATGGCACCTACATTACTGACATATCTCGCACTTGGCCAGCTTCTGGCCGCTTCACCCCTGCTCAGCGCGACCTATACCAGGCCGTCCTCAACGTGCAGCGATCCAGTGTGTCACTCTGCAGGGAAAGCTCCAAGCTCTCACTAGAGGACATTCACAACGTTACCGCGAGGGGTCTTGTTGACCAACTACGAGGCATCGGGTTCAACGTCAACATGGCCAACATTGACCAGCTGTTTCCCCACCACGTTGGTCACTACATCGGCCTTGACGTGCATGACTGCCCTGGCTACAGCCGTCGCGAGACTCTTCGCAAGGGTCACTGCGTTACCATAGAGCCGGGTGTTTACGTCCCCCATGATGACCGATGGCCGGCCGCCTTCCAGGGTATGGGTGTCCGAATCGAGGACAGCGTATGCGTAGACGACGACTCACCCTACATTCTGTCCACTGAAGCCGTCAAAGAGATTGACGATATCGAAGCGCTGCGATCATGACATGTACTACTTTAACTGTGACATACTCATATAGACCTGGACCTAGACGTCTGAAATAAAGTGTATAGTAAATAGGATCAATACGACTGTGACGGTCGTTGTGTTACTCTTCACGACCCACTCGAAATTCTGTTGCTAGGCCTACAATTGATGTTATTGCAGCTCAGTCTTGAAAACAAAAGAAAACCGCGCGTGGTTCATGACTAGGATCATGAATGGGTCAAGCCACAACCGCTGCAGGTGAAATTAAATGCATGTAAGAAATCATACATACACACATAACCCGCCGCTGATCTTTGTTTATTAGATCTGGGTTTTGTTTAGCTATTTCCATGCAGAGATCTGATCTTTGTTGTGACAATAATCATCAACATACAGGGTAATATCTCGCGGTAGCAAAATGAGCTCCGCAAGCTGCTATGGAGACAGACCCCAGCCTCGGCTAGTCATCATGGCAGTAATCCCAAACCGGATCCGGTATGATATGACAAACAAGTCACAGCGTGTTCAGTTGTGCATCGAGACTGGCCAATGAATGATGCATAATTAGGATGAGCAGTGTATGCTGCGCGATTCATCTCTGGGGTATATTTATACACAATCCCAAGAGTCCTTGGGACAAAATCATGTCTATTCTAGCAGAAACCTCTTGGATCGAAGAGTGTCCGGCTGTGGTTCGGCATCAAGAACGGCTGACGAGCCGAGGCACTGAGAAGCTGCTCAAATGCCTGTAGACGCCTGGCCAACTCTTGATGTTCCTTCATGATGGACCGATTGCGCCTTTCTAAGTACTGAATATATTCGGTTGCCTTTGTTAAAACAGTGCCCTGTATCATGTCAGTCATCATGTCCGTAATTAGTGTTGATGGGAATCACCACTGACCTTGCTCACTTTGGGCGCTCGCTGTGAGTTTTCACCCTCTTCAATTCCGTCTTCTGGTATCGAATGGAGGGCAGGTACAGCATCGCGAAGCTCGGCGATCTTGTCCTTAAGATTTGTTCGATACTTTCGCTCAATATCATTATGGGCTGTTCGATCTCCTGGTTTGAGTTTATCTTTGCCCTTTATATCGGATGTAGCGGTGTTGGTGCGCGAAAGTCCTGGCCTAGCAGAACTCAAACCTGTCTCGCTCGATGCCTCTGTCTTGACGTCTTGGTTCCTCGATGGAGCCTTCGAGCTATTGGCTGGCGTAGGCGTTTGTTTTTGGCTGCGGTCCCCTGTTGGTGTTCCCAACAGAGAGTCGATGCTGCTATTAAACTCGGGTGGGAGTCCTGTACCAAGACCAGCTCCAAATCCTAAACCAAATCCACTCGCGGGCATGTAGCTGGCTGGTGTCCGACCAGTATTCATCGCGATAGCAAGAAGTCTCCTCTGCTCATCGTTGCTCAAAACCTGATTATTGCCCATACCCGACATGGTCTGCCCGAACCCCGCGTTCATGGCTGTTGCAGTATTGCCTAGCCCAAAGTCTGGTTCCATGCGTAGACCCGGCTCTGGCTTTTCCCAACTGAGCGGTGTCGAGTACAGGCCTTCTCGAGGAGGTACCTCTGGAGGCGGCATAGTCTCGATTTTTGATAGGTGTTCCTCCAGACTCATTGAGTCAAGTCCTTCTTCATCATCATCAGATAGAGCATTGTCTAAAGCATTGTCGTCAAAGTATTCGGCACCCTGAAATGGAGGAGCAGTTGCATATATGCCAGTGCCAAGTCCTGGTGTCGTTGAGCTTCCTCCGTAACCCGGTCTTTGTCGTTGATCAGTTTTCTGATTATGGATATATGGCTTAAACATACCGGTAATGAGTATTTGTGTTATTGGTCATGGGATCGAAACGTTTCGAAAAGTCAATTTCATAACTTCCTGTCCTTTCATTTTCCTCGTCGTCAAAACGGATCCAGTAGTCCAAAGATTCCAGCGCAGAATCGGTATCAACCTTTGTGCGCTTCCTTTCATGGGCATCTCGCTTCCGTTGTTGATTGCCCCGTGGGGGTCTTCGAGTAGGTAGTATGGTCTTGTTTGAGCTGGTATACGGTGACGGCATCGGAGCCTGGGTGAATGACATATCAGAGGCTGCAGTTGACTGGTAATCGTAGGACGGTCCCCCCTGGTTGCCAGATGCTCCCATGTCACCCTCTAAGCCTGTCGGTCTCCATGGCGAAGGTTCATGTTGCTGTTGAGATGTGTCGTTGTTCTGATCCACGTGATTCAGCGTCTGGTTGTTGGGCACCGCGAAAAAGTTAAGAAGATTAGGATCCATTGCTAACACGGCATCCCGGCCTGCGAGGCCGTGTTCGTCGTCCGGGAAGGGAGGTCTCGTGTGAGCAACCCGTACAGGGTTTGAGCCAGCTCAATTGGCGATGGCTACTTCGATTGGAAAACGGGGGTAATTAGGTTCAACAGTGGTTACAAGAACAGATAGGCCACTCGATAAAGTGTGACAATCACAAAGCTGTCGCAACGGAATTGAGGGGTCGATCTGTCAAAGCATATGACAGTGGGTCCAGCCGTGATGGAGGGTAAGAATTGATGATGCTTATGATGATGACAACCTCGCGAAAGGGATAAGATAGCACGGAAATAAGTTGAAGTGTATCGATTGAGATTCAGCGAAGTGAGGATAAGATGAGCTCGGTAAAGACGGCTAGGTGGGGTGTTGTTGAGATTGAGGCCAGATCCAGGTGCTTAAAGGAATAAGAAAGCGGGTGATGGGGTTGAAGAGCTGCGGAAAGATGAATTGCAGTATATGACAGCACTGCAA